TAGATGAAAATTGATGTTAATGGTTAACCAATTTTTATCTAATAAGTGCTCAATCGATGAAAATAGATGTGTAAGAGCTTAATTGATGTTCAAAAGCCTTTTTAACTTTTAACCTTATTTTTGTAATTTTTAATTCATTTTAAAGATTATAATTCTTAGCGACACTACTAAGTTCTTTATCTATTTCATCAATCAACTTGTAGATTTTAATTGGAGAGTGGTCTCATGTTGCCATTGTGTTAAGTGTTGTTTTCCTTATCTTTTTAGTGAAAGCAAAGTTAAGATCATTCAACTATGCTTTCATAGTTTTAAAAACTCATCGTGAAATTTCTTGGGTTTTTTTTTTTTTTTTCGTTAGTATGAGTAGCTTGTTGTCCACACCTGGAGACCAAGCATTGCAAAGAATTCTTATTTTTATTCATCACACAATTCAGTGAACTATAAGGACAAATTTGCAATATAGGATTGTGAAAGGGAAACTTTACACTATAGGAGAATAGATCTTTAGTAACATTTTTTTTCATGTTTAGAGTATTTATAAACATCACTAAATAATTTGTGGTACTTGTAAAAAATTCCACTAAGAACGTCAACTACACCTATGTTGGAGAATATAGCAGCATTTTAGAGAAAAAAACCACCAACTTGCGACGTTTTTTAAAAAAACATCGCTAAATTTAACGGTATTTTACTAAAATGGTGTTAGTTGTTTAATTGCGTTTTTAGATAAAATGTTACTAAATTTTATGGCATTTTCAGATAGAAATGCTTGTAATTTTGGTTCTTCAATTGTGTCTACCAAACGTTAAGAATATTTCATTTAGCAGCATTTTTCACTATAAATGCTGCAAAATTAGGAAATTTACTTTTTTTTTAATATATACTAGTATGATTAAATAAAAAAAATATTGAAAAAAATAAATGAATTGAAAAATTCATAAACTAAACATCATAAATATTTAAATATCTAAATACATAATTTATTCACAAAGTTTAATACAATACATTTAAATTATTTTAGTACATTAAGCAGAAATTTAAAAAGTATGAAATTGATGAACGTTGAAAGTTGGAGCACTACCATTTGATGGAGGATTTTTTTCACCATGATCACTAACGTGCTTAAGAACCTACTGAATGAAGTAAAATAAGTCTTTACACTTAATAATAAGCTATTTTTTATATTAAAAAATATAAATAGTTATTAAATATAATACCTGAATTGATAGACCACCTAAATTGGTTCTTGAAAATTGTTGTTGTACAGAATTCATAAGAGTATTGAATCGATCATACAACTATTAAAATCTTACAAGCTCTTGATCCATTCTAACATGTTCTTCTTAAATTCTAGCACATTTCTTTTCTAATTTGGCATGCTCTGCTTCTGCTTCCATTTGTTCAACATGTAGTTGCATAGTTTGCAACCCCGCTCTCAATATGAAAATTTCTTGCAAAGACTAATTTACTAAGAATGTAAATTGCTGAGAGCTATATCATAATAGTAAAATGGTGTTGGACCCAATCTAAGGCCTCGAACCTGTCATATCTTTTTTTTTAGCAACTTTTGTGAATATCTGATTAATCAAATAAAGCTATCAAGTTTAATAATTAATTCATAATATATATATTTAAAATAGTAAATTTTTACTTTGTGTATAAAATGAATCCAAGAAATTACTATAATTTCTTACATTTTGAGATTTAGATAAGATTCGTCTTTTTTGTATTGGTTATTTAAAAAAATTTCACACATTCAATTTTTTCACCAAACTCAATTTCCTATATAAAAACATATATTATTGTTAAAAACACTGATATTGAATATGAACTAAAAAAAAAAAAAGTTTCCAATACAAACATTTAAATTAAAGTAAAAATATCCAATGCCATCATTGTTATATTAAAGAATCTTACTCTAATCACTATTTAAAAAAATAATAAAATAAATAATCTTAATCTCAACAATATATAACCACATCTTAAATAAATATATAAAAGTCAAAGCCTTTAGCAAAAATGGAAAGAATCCTACGTGGATGGCTTAAAATGTTAGACATGTGGACATCTAATAAATGACATATAATAAATGCATTTTGTTTTATTTAATGCATTTTTAATTTAAAAATAATTAAAAAATAAATTAATTTATATTTATGTTTTTATTATTAACTTTAAATTACTCTCAGTTTAATTTATATTAAAAGTATTAAAATTTAAAAAATTTCTTAATTTAAGAATTAAATCAATCAATATATAATTAATAAATACTATAATTATAATTATAAAATAGTTGATTCTCTAATCAATTATTTGATATATTTATATTTGATTAAATAAAGTATCTAGTAATTGATGTATTTTATGTGTAAATATATAAAGCAAATATAATTTAAAAAGATTATATTTATGTTTTTATTATTGATTTTAAATCACTCTCAATTCAATTCATATTAAAAGTATTAAACTTTTAAAAATATCTTAATTTGACAAATTAAATCAATCAATATATAATTAATAAATTAATAAATACAATAATTACAATTATAAAATAGTTGATTCTTTAATTGATTATTTGATACATTTATATTTTATTAAATATAATATCTATTTGAGTAATTGATGTATTTCATGATGTATTTCATGATGTATTTCATGTGTAAATATATAAAACAAATATATCAAATTAATTCTCCATAACTAAATTAATGGAATAAAATATTTTATTAATTTATATTTGATTGATACATTTATATTTCATTAACTATGATTTCATTTGATAAAATATTAATGTACGTTGATTTCATTTGTAATGTTTTATAATTTTATTATTTGATATTAATGTACGTTAATTTAGTTAAAATTTAATTTATTTTATTGTCATTATTAAATATAATAAATATAATTTGTTTTATTATTCTAAATTAAGAGATCTTTAAATGTTAATGACATAATAAAATATTTTAATATCAATTAATTTTCATTGTTAGACCATTGTTCACTTATAATTTTTATTATTTTAATATTAACTTTCATAATTTAAAATTATCGTATTAAGAAATTTTCATTTATGTTTTTATTATTGACTTTAAATCACTTTCAATTCAATTCATATTAAAAATATTAAAATTTTAAAAATTTCTTAATTTGACAAATTAAATCAATCAATATATAATTAATAATTTAATAAATACTACAATTATAATTATAAAATAATTTATTCTCTAATCAATTATTTGACACATTTATATTTGATTAAATATAGTATCCATTTGAGTAATTAATGTATTTTATGTGTAAATATATAAAGCAAATATATCAAATTAATTCTCCATAATTAAATTAATGGAATAAAATATTTTATTAATTTATATTTGATTGATAGATTTATATTTCATTAAATATGATTTCATTTAAATTCATTTGGTAAAATATTAATGCACCTTGGATTTCATTTGATAAAATATTAATGCACTTGGATTTCATTTGATTTCATTTGTAACATTTTATAATTTTAAAATCTAAATATTAATGCATGTTGATTTAATTAAAATTTAATTTAATTTATTTTCATTATTAAATACAATAAATTTATTTTATTTTATTATTTTAAATTAAAGGAGCTCTAAATGTTAATGGCAGAATAAAATTTTTCAATATCAATTAACTTGCCATTGTTAGACCATTATTCACTCATAATTTTTATTATTTCAATATTAACTTTTATAATTTAAAATTATCTTATTAATTAACTTACAATACATCTTTTGTATAAATAGTTTCAGGTTAAGCATAATGCATCTTTAATCACTTTTCACTAATTTTAAATCTTTTGATTACTACTCAACTTTATTTAATTTTTTTCTCTAATTTTTACTTTACATCATTTCTTGGTCTGTACTGCTTAAATGTTATTCTCTTTTTATACTTATATTTTATATTTCTTTGACTATGATATTAGCTCTTTTTTTTTTAATTTTTTTTGTTGATTATTGATTTAAAGATGATTGAGTATATACAGAAAAAATCTTTCACAAGTAGAGTTACTATTATGAAAGTTGATACCACTTTTGGTTGATACTATATGTGATGTGGGTGTAACAAGAAATTATTTGAAATTGATGGGAACTTTCAATATTATTCATGCAATGTCGATATCCCTAATCTAATAATATAAATTGCTAAGAATGTAAATTGTTGAGAGCTATGTCATAGTAGTTAAATGGTGTTGGACTTAATCCAAGGCCTCGAACCTGTTCATATCTTTTTTTTTTAGCAATTTTTGTGAATATTTGATTAATTAAATAAAGCTATCAAGTTTAATGATTAATTTATAATATATTTAAAATAATAACTTTTACCTTGTGTATAAAATGAACCTAAGAAATTATCATAATTTCTTACATTTTGACATTTAGATAAGATTCATTTTTTTTTGTGAGTTATTTGAAAAAATTTCACACATTCAATTTTTTCACTAAACTCAATTTCCTATATAAAAGCAAGTATTATTGTTAAAAACATTAAAATTGAATATGAAACTTAAAAAAAAAAAGTTTCCAATACAAACATTTAAATTAAAGTAAAACTATTCAATGTCATCATTGTTATTTTAAACAATCTTACTCTATTTAAAAAATAATAAAATAAATAATCTCAATCTCAACAATATATAACCACATTTCTTTTAAAACGTAATACATAAATTTGTTTTTTTTTTTAATATAAAAAATTAAGTTTTATATATTTATATAAGAAACCGAATAAAAATTGTAGGCATCATGAACGCATAAAGCACCCGATTAACTGAGAGTGAGAAACTCGGCAAGTGAGACTCTAATTTAAACCCGATAGCCCTGAACCGTTTGAACCCTAACTCTCCAAGCCACGGCTCCAGTTTACTGATAACAAAAACAAGGAGGCTCTTTCCCTCTCAGTGCTACTAAATCCTAGAAAAACATTCAACACATTGTTTCCGCCCTTTCCCTCCGCCACCCAACATGACTCTGGAAATCGAAGCTCGAGAGTACGTTTTCCTTCCCTATATGTTTTCTATATTTTCTGTTTTTTTTTCCCGCTTTCTGGTATTGGGTAATGCCCAATAAAATTGAGATTAATTCTTTCAATTTCTTTTCCTTTTTTTTCAGCGTTATTAAGATTGTGCTCCAATTTTGCAAAGAAAATTCGTTGCACCAAACGTTTCAAACTTTACAAAACGAGTGTCAGGTTTCTCTGAACACTGTAGACAGCATCGAAACGTTTGTTGCTGATATCAACAGTGGAAGGTGGGATGCGATATTGCCTCAAGTGGCTCAACTTAAGCTCCCAAGGAATAAATTAGAGGATTTGTATGAGCAGGTTTGGACTCTTATCATCCATTGCTTTAAAAACTAGTTTTTGATACCCTTTGTTCTGTAATTCTTTGTAAGAATGAAATAGAGGCTGATAATTTAGTGCTTCTTTTGCTACTTGCTTTTTGCTTCCACAAGTAATTTGGAAAAAGTTTTTTTTTTTTTTTTAAATATGGGATAGTTATGTTAGAATTGGATCGGTTGCTTTGCCTTTTATAGATTATAACGACATTTTAGGAAGTAAAAGGTATATATCAAAAAGCAAGTACTAAAAGCAACGGTCAAGCTTAGCCTGACCTATTTTGTAGCTTCATAGTAGCTTTTTGGGATGTAATGTAAATAGCAAAACTTGTATTGAGCTGTTTTTATTTTGTGGATGTCATATGTTATTTTCAGCACCCTTGGTGTTGTTTAGTAGAGTTATTTGAATGGTTACTTGATAATCGTTTATAATTAGATGAGGAGTCTGTGATGCTGTAATGCAGTGCGATTAGGGAGAGAATAATGTTTACTGAGGCTAAGAACTAATCACATGGTCTACAAATTACCCAAGAAGCCTTATGTCCTTCATGGTTATATTTGATTGCTTTTTTTTTTTTTTAACCTAAGATTGAGGTTTTTACTTTACTTCATTGGAAAAGGAATCTTGAGCTTTAGTTTGCACTTTGTGGAGATTGCTTGTGAGTAAGGTGATGTCTTACTGATATGTTGATTTACTTTTTTTTTGTTTGAATTTGATGTTTCAAGGAGTTTATAGTGTATTCTCTTGTCAGATCTATGATTTGAAAGTTATTGGTCTATGGAATTTTACTTTCTTCTATTGTTTTTAGAGGATTTTCTTAGTCTAATCAGTAACAGAGTTCCTCAAATCTTGTGCTGTCCTTTCTTATTATTCCTTAACCAGGTTATGTGCTTATCCTTTTTATGAAAATGGTTCTTTTACTTGCTCTTTCTATTTTTGCGAATGAATTTACTTCCCTTATAGTGGAGTTTCTTGCAATAGTACACAGGTTTGATTAATTTGATCAATAAGAAGTTGCTTCTTTTGGTTTACTGAATGCAAGGTCAAAGCAAGGTTGAGACACAAGCACACACACAAAAATGTTTGTATACATAAATATCTATGCATCAGTATATATTTACAAATATATACATACATGTATGCACAAATATATATCATACATGTATGTATGACTCTTGTTGTCTTAAACAATAAGAGGTCTTCCAAGTTCTATCTCCATAGATGAATGATCTCCCGCTTTATTCTACCACCATTCCATCATGTTAAAAGCCCACCTTTTCTCATTAGTTTTGCTCCTTGCATCTAGGATCCTATAGGTGTCATGCAATGTCAAAATAAGAATAGGCCCTTAATGTTGTGTCCGTGCTTTTAAAAAACCAATTTCAACCTCATCCAGGTCCTTCTTAGTCCTAATGTAGCTTGAACTTGAGCTTATGATGAATCTTTTTCATAATTAAGGTGTCCATCCTTTAAAATCATTAGGCCAGCTCTGCCAACTTCATATTGTGGTCGTCCTTTTTCTATTTCTTCATATTTACCTCCCACATTATATTTCCTCATTTTTTTATGACTTCTGCAGATTGTATTAGAAATGATTGAACTACGAGAGTTGGACACTGCACGTGCTATTTTGAGGCAAACACAGGCAATGGGGGTCATGAAGCAAGAGCAACCTGAAAGATACTTGAGGCTTGAGCATCTCCTTGTAAGAACTTATTTTGATCCAAATGAGGTAAGAAACCTAGTTTTGATGTCCTTATTTATTGTTTCATTGTCATTTTCATGATGATATGCTTCACTTTTGTTTCTGGAAAATGCATTATGGTTTTCTGTCAAAATAAGTTATTGAAAGTATATAAAAATTACTATATATTATATGATTGCCACTTTTTTTAAAGAAAATTATTTACAACTCAAGACTTGCCAGGAGGTAGAGGGCTAATACTCTTAGGAATTTAAAGTCGTAGTAAGTCAAACAGTCCAAGCAGACTAACAAAGCATAATCAACCTTTCACTTCAATTTGTCTCAGAATTTATGTATCCATGCATGTGTAATGAGCTTGATTGAATTTGAATTTAATTCAACATTTATTTATCAACTAATCACAGGCACCACACTGATTGGTTTTGCAGCATGAAATGGAAGTTTGGTTGCCATGTTTGTATTGCTTTCCCTGTTTTTTTCGTCTTTGTTGAAAATGACAAAATCATTCTTTTTTTTTTTTTTTTTTATAATGGAGCCAATTTTCATTCTTGTTTTCCAGAAAGGTTATTTTGTCATCAAACAGATTTTCTAATTTGATGAAAGTTAAATAAAAAAAGTGGTTTCTTAAACCAAACAGGCTTTGCTACTACAACACAACTTTCTTTGGTGGTTAGAATTGTTGTCAAGTCCCGACTTTCCTTTGTTGTCAATGAAGAGGATAAAAAGGATATTGTATTTGTGGATCCATCTAGGCAGTGATCATTTGAATACTAGCAATGAAGCATGTTGTCATTGTTAGATTGTTGATGAGTTGATGCAATCTCATCACAAATATGAATAATTAGTATCAAGCCTTCTATGTTTTTGTTGTTATTTTCTTAGAGCAAGTTGGTAATCTAAAAAATTTTTGAGGAAAAATAGGGAAGTGAGTGGTGTTTCCCTTTCCTGGTTCATTGGTCTCCTCGGAACTGGGGACCAGTGGGGGATGGGGGAGGAGTACGGTTTGAGTATTATGCCTTTGGCGAGAAACATGGGAGAATGTGAGTAACAATTTTCTTGTTTGTTGCATATGTGAGGCTAAATTTTTTGGCTTCAGATTAGTAAAGTTAGTTAAATTTTTGTTCCCTTATTCTGAGCTGAGTATAATTGTATTGAGTTTCAGTGAGAAGGTACTTACCCTAAATTGCAGCTTTGAAGATGCTTGAGATTCAGTTAATCTCTTTACAAGAAATTGATTGTTGTTGATAGGTCTTGTATATTTAAGAATATTAGTGAATAGCGAGGCATCTCTTACTTCATTGTTTCTTGACATGGGATTGGTTATTGTAGAGGTTCACGTGTTATTGTGGTTGTCCCACATCAGATAGAAGTTGGATTTGAAAGAGAATATTTATGGAGGCACTAAGAACCCATCAGTTTAAGCTTAGGTTAAGTGTTGCCAGCATGTATATATGGGCTCTTTAAGTATGCTCTTTGTGGTCTTAAGCGTTGACTTCTCTCCTAACAAATTGGTATGAAACCTGAAGGGTTGAGTTGGGTGCAACATGTTAAGGTTAAGTCATGTAAATTCCTTTTGGTTTTGTGGCTATTAGTGAATTAAATTTCAAGTGAGAAAAGCCAAACCTTGAGCCCATGAGGAGCATATGAAAAGGGCTCGTATAATGTTGGATGGTTTCTTTGGTCCTATATGCATATATTTACATTCATATTCAGTTTTCACTCAATGTGGGACAACCACATTCATATAACGCAGCCAAGACATCAGCTCCAGGCCTATGCGACTTTTAAGGCGCAGGTGCACCCTTTGGTGACTCAAGATCAGCCCTTCACTGTAGTGCCCTGTTCTAGTGCCTCACATTGGCACCTCTCCGTTGCTTGCTAGTATTGCACACTGATACACCACAGAGCTAGAGAGATAAATTAGAGAGAGAAGTTTAAGACCAGAGTAGCTTTCGTATTCAAATTTTTTGGTTACAAATTAGGGGAGGGGTCACTTCATTATTTAGACAAGAACCTTACAATGAATGGGTAAGACGATATGTGTCACAATGCTGTGAAGGAGGCTTGTAAATGCAGCAGGTTTGAAATGACATGTGGTCGGACATGTTAACAGGGTGAGGAGGACACGGTACAACATTAGCACTCAATGTGTGCCTATGTGTAAGCTGATGTGTATGTGTAAAGTGTTCTAGAGTGTACAGTCCATATATCTTCTAGATAGGTTGAAGAGTATTCTTGCAGGGTTCTAGAGCATGAAGGTTTTAGATACTGATGTGGCACCATCTTGATCATCCATTTTAAAGGGTCTTGTCTATATAAGAAGTCATTTCGTCCCCTTGTACTTCTCTTTCTAGTTTTCTTGTGTATGAGTATGCAATAATAGCTAGGAAGAGGGATGCACTTTTTTGAGGTACTCGAGCTGAATATTATAGCGAGTCTTTCTTGTGAGGAAGTTTTCTTGCGAACGATAAGCAGTCTCATATCATTAACTAAAATATGCTTGTATTTTGAAGATTTCTATTTATAGAGAAAGAAGCAGTTGAATTGTGCGAGGAAGTTTTCATTACAAAACATATTTGGATAAATGCTTAATTAGCATTCTAGCTGAAAAATCTTTCTTTTATCCTATGTTCACATTTTGTTTGAGTCCTTTAGATGAATAAGCCTTCTTTTTCTGTTTTCTTTGTAATTCCTATAGATGTTTTTAGTTGTGTTATGATACCTTGATTTAGTTGGGTTTTTTATTGCCTTATATTAAGGTTGGGTGTCAAACGCATCTTACCGATTGGTTTTCAGGTGGATTCTTTAACATGTTATTAGGCCTGTTAGTTGCCCCATCTTGCTGGGTTGTAGTCATTGTCCCTGTGATATGCCTGTTAGTTGCCCTAGTAACGTATGCTCTGCATTATAGTTTATGTCCAATGCGTTATGTAACAAGGTTTATGCCTTCTGTTGCCTTCTGTGTTATGTAACAGGCTTACCAGGACTCAACAAAAGAGAAACGGCGTGCACAGATTGCCCAAGGTTTTTTCTATTTGTCATTTAACTTCTAGTGGTGTGTTTACCTTTTGGCTTCAAAAGTTGCTTTTTGAGCCTCTATTTAGTTGTTACTCTTACTGATTCCTTTTTACTTCTTACAATCTATGGCTAATAGAAGGGAGCCAAATCATATGTGTGTAGAAATAAGAAAAGGACTAAAATATAACATACATTTAATTGTATTAGTTCTATATTGAAATCCTTTTTATTATCCGTGAAAGTCAATTCTTTTAAACTTTTAATTCTTGATAAATATCTTTTTGCTTTTGCATCAAAGTACATGATTTGCATTTTTGCTTGCAAGTATCAAAAGGAACCATCTAAGAGTTTATTTGTTTGTCGCTTCTTTTTTTTTTTAAAACTTTCTTTTGGTTCAGAAGCCAAAAGGCAAAAAGTGCATTTGGATACAAAAGCAAACCGATTTTTACAGGAAGAATCAAATTAATATAGCACCTTTATGTTTCAAGGTGGTACATTGTTGTCATGTGATTGTTTTTAATTAAATACAATCTTACCTTTTTTATTTTTTTTTCTAATTTCTTTTACTTAATAACAAAGTCTAAGGGAGCAAAATATTAGTAGAAGAAACAACTTTATGGAGCCTTTAATTTTTGAGGCATATATTTTCAATTATTTGTAAAAGGCCTGATTAGTAAGATTGATGGAATTATCAATTCAATATAATGTCTAAGTATTTAACAAGAAGAGGGGGGTGTATTACAGAGCGAGTAATAAATAGGTGGTAGGCTGATCTGAAGTACATTTTGCAGAGAAATTTCTCTTTTGAACCTCAAGGGACTTAGTTTAATTTTTTAAAAAAAGTTCTTAAGTTCTGAAAATAAAAATAATATCATGCACGATGAAAAGGTAAGTTATAAGCATCTCCAGATTAGATCTTCGGAAATAAGCGAGATTAGAACTCTAGGAAAAGTTTTCCTTTAGGTAATTTGTGGCTAATGTAATTTCATTCTATTTTAATTTCCTTTTCTTGCTGGACATCTTAATCACAAATCCACATGCCTTTTCTCTCTACTTTTTTAGAAATTGATTTTTTTCTTTAAATGCTGACAGTAATTTGAAATGATATGCATATATATGTGTGTGTGTGTCAGAACTTATAGTAATTTAGGCAATAGATGGCAATTTGTAGCACCTACGCTTTTCAAGGATGTTGAGTTTATTTCATTGCAATTGCGACAGTGTGATGTCACTGCTATTATAAAATCCACTGTTTTATTTCTATATGTATTAACCTAGTAGCTAGATTCATCTTTAGGTTGTGATTAATGCTTATTGAGGCAAGTGTACCCCTTTCCGTGCAACTTTAAATCTTGGAAATTCTCAACTTTCAAAATACAAGGCACATGTTCTCTTGTAGGCACAATTTTTTGGAACCTGTCCAATGCCATATCCCCACCCCCCTTTTTCTTTTAATTTTCCAGAGATATATAAAAAAAAAAAAGAGAAAAGAAGAAAAAGTTTTGTAGTATTTAAATTAAATCACATTGGTTTTGCTAAAATTTCTCTAGTACTTTACTACGGTCTACCTTAGTGTTTAGTCAAGATGATGTTTAAATCAAGTCCTTTCTACAGTTAAGGTTGAGTATAGCAAGTAGATCATTGTCAATGGACATGACATAACATATCATTGCACTTGCATTTAAAAATGTTAATAGGTTTGCAGATGTACATTGTAAATTTAATGCATTTTCAATATGCAAATTTCATGCTTGAATGAACTTTACAAGTTGGATTGATGATTTATCCTTTTGCATTTCAGCCATTGTTGCAGAAGTGAGTGTTGTGCCACCTTCACGTTTAATGGCTTTGATTGGTCAGGCTTTAAAATGGCAGCAACATCAAGGTACGTTTTCATTAAAATTAGAAGAACCTTCATTTGTTGGTTTCTTGTTGATTTGATGCATATAATTTCTCTTTACCATCTATTTAGATCTCTATTAGGACATCTATAGGGTTTGAGTTTTGGAATCATAAACTTAATGAAGGAAAAATGGGTTAGTAAATTACAACTCAAACAAGCACAAAATAGTGGTTTAATTTAATCAAATATGCCCCAAAAGTCAAAATTGTAGACGTTCAAAACTTAAGAGTTGCACTGCTAGTAGATACATATATATGGTGCTTTTGATCAGTTTTTAAATGCATTTAAAAAGTGTACATTTAGGGATGACTCAAGATGAAACGCTAAAAGATTGCTGTGAGGGGTGACCAAAAGATGCTACACCTTAGAGGGCATTTTAACTGGGGTGTTAATGCTTCTTTGGCACTGAAAGGCAGAGTGTACAAAGTATTCAAACATCAGAAGATTCAGAAAACATCCATGGCCACTGAACACTTTATTTGTCCAAAATTTTAATGGTTTGAAATAGAAAAGAACGAACTGTGTTAGTGGAAGGGAAAAGGATAGGAAAAAGAAAAACAAATAAGAGAAGATGCCTTGAGGGATGAATATCATGAAAGGAAATGGAGCTTTAAAGCAGAGGGGGTGGTGGGAGAAAAGAGAAATAGATCATTAGATGCATGGGTGCTAGAAAACAAATGTGAAGTTAAAATGGATGTGAAAAGGAAAGTTAAAGGGTGTGGAGTGTGGAGAAAAAGAAATAAAAGAGAAGAGAAAAATAAAAAATTGAAGAGGAGAAAATTGTAAAGCGGAGAAAAAGGGTGGGTCCTTTGGGCTTACTAACAAGTTTAATGGGCTAGCTATTCTTTTTAGCATGTTGGATTTGGTTTGGTTTTACTTTGATTGTTGGGGTCATCATTCAATATATGTCCTTTTCAGGTTTGCTTCCTCCAGGAACACAGTTTGACTTATTTAGAGGAACAGCTGCTATGAAACAAGACATAGATGACATGCATCCAACAACCCTATCACATACAATCAAAGTAAGTTTTATGGTCTCATGTTTCAAAATTGTGTGCTACTTGCTTTTCTTGGTTTTTTCTTGATGTCAGTTTATTGTTTTGGTTTTTAGTTTTCTATAGATCTAACATCTTGTTCTTTCCCTCTTTCTGGTGGGAATCTGAATTTGCTTTAGTGCTTTGTTTTGTTTTTTATTTCTTGTGTACTTTTTTTTTAAGATTGAAAAATTTTGGTATTGATTTGTTTGGGTAATTCTTGATAATTTTGATGGGTATGGGTGTTCCATTCTCTACAATCTCTCTCTTAGGTTTTTCCATTTAAAATAAATTCAAATGCAAAGAACTGTTAAGATTATAATAGAACTATTTAATTTTTTTTTAATTTTCTTTTTCCTCCAAAGTTTATTTATTCTTAGGCTTTGAAACGAAAAACTATTGTTAAGCAGTTGTTTGCTGTCCAGCATTTTTTATTCCTATAATCTATTAGAAGGAAAATGTCTCCTGAGACAGAGAGATCTCAAAGTCTGATAAATGATAGTCATTTGAATTTTGCTTAGTGTTAGTTCAGTTATCTAAGTAGCAACTAATGGACTAGGATCACTGAAAGCAGCAGATGTTGATAACACATATCTAGTGTTATCAACTGGATATGTATAAAAAGTCAAAGATTCAAAACCCCCAGAATGAGTTGAACCTGTAGCGATCTGAATCATTAGGCAGTCTTCGCTCGGTAAAGATACTCATATTCTCTCGGATTTTTGCTATGTCATATCGTCTTGAGTTTGATATGGCATATAAATCATCTTTAGGCTTGGCACCCATAATTTTTTATAAGTGTTCTTTATGAGAAGATTTTGCTTTTCACTTTGGTTCTAGTGTAGTAATAGAGGACATAACTTATGAGTTCTAGTTTTAAATGGGTTCATCCCTACTAAAACATATTTGATTATTTTATTGGCTCAAAACTGCTGACGAGTAGAAATTATTGGGATAAAGGTCAAATCTATCATTGTACTATATTGGAGCCTCCAATTTTACCATCCTACTTTTTCTTGGGGTACAATGCTATTGTCAAACTACAGATTTTGGTGCAATTTCACCATTTTACTGTTAAGAAGATGATGTTGACTGTTAACGGGAAGATGTAATTGTTTGAAGTAAAAAATAAAAAAAAAGTTTATCAAAATTAATATAAAATAGTGACAAGCTATGAAGCACGAACATGGACGCGCAATACAGGTATGAAATGACATGGACATGGTGACACAACAATTTCTAAAAATAAGGATAGGGTACGACAAAACATGACCACAAAAATATTTTTTGTGTAAAATTATGTAATGTAAATGTAAGTACAATAAAAATGTAAATATTGATATTTTTCAATCAAATATTAATATGCAGATAGCTTCTTAATTTTTAAAAATCAGTTTTTGAGCTAAAAATTTTGAACCTTTAAAAACCCATTAGAGCCAAATAGTTTAAACTCAAAGGCCAAAGGTCCTAAATCATCGTGGCCTGTGAGGAATTTTTTTCTTGGTTTGTGCTGCCTTTTTTTTTTTCCCCTATCGTTCTCTATCCTTTTAACATATTTCCATGAATACTAAACTTTTTACTCCCACTTTCCCAGCATTTAGCTCTCTTCTCGTCGTGTTCTCTGTTTTTGCTTTTCATTTTTTTGGGGTTTTCAGCATCTCACTTTCTTAGGATTTAAGTTTTTGCTTATTGTTGATTCTAGATTCGGTGAAAAAATGAAAAAAAAGAAAACTTCATCCTGTGTTTGGATATGCCTTGATCATGTTTTGATCGTGTCCAATTTTTTTTGTGTCCTAATATGTTCGATACTTACCCCGTCATATCAAAGAAGTGTTCGTGTCGTACAAGTATTAGACATTGGTACGCAGGGGTGCAAAACGTGTTTCTGCTTCATAGGTGATAAATAAAACTAATAGCCAACTAAAAAACTCTAATACATTGTTTTTATTGTTTATAATTCAAAGGAATGCTTATGAAACAATTATCAAGAAGAATTAGAGAAACTGTGCTAGACAATTCCAAATAAAAAATGGTATAAAAGAAATTCAACAAATTTCAAGATGAAGGTCAAATTTACCATGGCACTATTATGGGCCGCCTACAATTTTGTCAACTTACTTTTTCTTGGTGGAATATTACCATCATATTGTGATTTTTCGTGCAAACTTTTAGGCACTTTTGAAAGGAATAAGAATATTGCATTAAAAATGTAGAATATTCATTTTTTCAAGTTGACAAGATAAATTTTTTTTTTTTTTTGCTTATAACAATGCCAACTAGGCCACTATTATGATAATCTTTTGTGAAAGAAAAAAAATGCTAACTAGAAAAATTGTTGAAAAAAACTATATTCAATTAAAATATTATAAATAGTTTGAACCATCTATAGCCAAGTAAATAGCAAAATTTATTTTTAGGGAAAAAAGAAAAAGATCATTGGTTTTGATATTAAATTTTTTTTTACATGTTATCTATGAAGCACGGACTTGACATGCACCCTTGTGCATCGGTGTTTGATACGTGTCTGATATGGACACACCTTCGACATAGCGGGATATGCATCGAATATGTCATTACACGTACAAAGAAAATGGATATGGTTAAAACATGATCAAGACATGTTCAAAAATGGTTGGACACAAGATGAAGGTTTTTTTTCTTTTTCCCCCAAATCTAGAATTAATAATGAGCAAAAACCTAAATCCTAAGAAAGTGAGTTGCTAAAAATTCATAAAAAATAGAGAGAACACAATAAGAAAGTCAAATGCTGGAAAAGTGGGAGTAGAAAGTAAAATATAAATGGAAATATGCTACAGGGATTGGGAATAACAGAGAAAAAAGACGAGAGAAAGAGGAGAGAGGCGGCACACAATTATAGCCAAATATGAAAAGAATTCCCTAGTGACTAATTTAGGGCTTTTGAACGTTTGAATTTGAGCTATTTGGTTTTAATGGGTTTTTGGAGATTCAATTTTTTAAATTCAAAATTGCTTTTAAAAAATTAAAAAGCTATTTACATATTTAAATTTGATTGAATAGCATCAATATTTATATTTTTATTGTTTTTACATTGAATTTTTTTACGTAAAAATTTTTTTATTGCCATATTCTTCTGTTCCTGTGTCATTTTTAAAAATTGTTGTGTTGTCATGTTTGTGTCATGTCGTACTCATATTGCGTGCTTTTGCTTAGCAGTCTATCTCATGAGGATCTTCATTTTCTATGAGATATGTCCTATAGAACCCATCATATATCATTTAGTAGTGGTAGATTTACAGAAATATCCAAGATTTAAAAAAGGATTTCTTGTATTTGTGAGCCATATTGTGGCTTATAAGTATTTTAAAGGAGCAATGTTTTATAGCAGTGAAGGTTCTAGAAATTGTATGTTTAACTTGATATAAAGTTCTTTCTTTGTTTCCAGTGTTGCTTGCATTTCCGTAACATCTGAACTCATTTTCTGCTTCCATCACTTCATTGCTTAGGTTTACTTGTAACCAATTTAAATACCACGTTCTTATTGTTCACTTTTGCTTAAATTTGATTGGTTGAAGCATATCATTGTTGATTTAACTCTCCTGACTTCTTACACTGCATATTCTCCTTTCTCCTCCTATTGTTGATTCCATCATCATATACCTTAGAGAAAGTGCTCCTCCACGTATTCTTATACACCCTGTTGCTTTTTGTTTCAAGCATTTTAATGCAAGTGTTCTCTGCTATTTTCCAAGGACTCCCGGATGGAGAACATTAGTTTGCATTGATTAAGTAGCTAAAAATATAAGTGCCGGTGCTATTGGTTTTATTTGATTTCTTGTAGGGCTAATTACACATTTGGTACCCGAATTATAGTTAACTGTTTCTTTGGGTACCTATTTTTCAAAATGAGCAATTGGCTACTCGAACTTTGCTTTCTGTCTCCTTAGGCCAAAGTGTAATGTGTCGTAGATAACCAATAGAAAATTGCCACCTGTCCATATAATGCCATGTCATTAGTGGTATTTTTCCTCCTTTAACCTATGATGTGGCAGCAGGGTTTCAAAAAACATCCCCATCGTGAATAGCAGCTGCTATTTAGCAGTAGTGGTGCCCTTTGCCACCGTTATTTACTGCAATGGAGGTGTGAACGGTTATTCGTGCGTGTAACACCTCTTTGCGACTGCAAATAGCAGTGTAGCAGAAAATAATGGTTGTAATGGCATAATAATGCCACTGTTGCCTTTTTTATTTTCGGCTCCATGCCAAAAAGAGAGAAAAACCTAGTCAAAATTCAGTCAATTCAATCAAAGTTGAACAGATTTAAGTCTTAATCAAAATAAAAAGAGAGAATTGAGTCAAGTTAATAAAAAAAATTCACTAAAAAATATCCTTTTTCTTCGCATCTTTCGACATTTGAGTTCTGGATGGTGGTGAGAGAGAGCTCTCTTATGGCTTCCATGGGTGCTGGCTTTAGGTTCTGTTGCCATCTCCAATCTTTACTTTTGAGAGAGATAGATAAATAAGACTTTATAGTTGAAAATCTTGAGGGAGAGACTATGATAATTTGAAAGAAGCATGTGCGTGGTTTGGTTGGGTTGGGTCATGGTGGCTCTGTTGTGAGATGGGGAAGAAAAGTGGAAATAACCAGGGGAAAAAACAGGGAAGGGGTGGGGAAAGGGCATATTGAAGATTTGTCATTTTGTGACACTAAAATCAAAAGTGGGTTTTGACTATTTAACTTTTTTGGTGAAAGTTTAAAGAGGGAAAGAAAAATGGATGGTGGAAAACTGGTATTTTAATATTTTTTTTGATAATGTAAATGAAAATTTAAAAGGTAATTGAGTTGTTAATATTTTTAAGAGTTTAAGAAAGAAATTTTGGGAGAAGGTGCAAATTTGAGAGGCTGTCACTTGTGGGTGTTTTTGAAAGTTCAAATTAATTTTTCATTTTCTCATCCTTAGTTAAAAATTTTGAGAGCGAAAGACACATGATTTATGAGAAATGGAAATTTGAGAAATTTTTTGGATGATTTGAGAGGGAACTAGACATGATAAATGGTGAATTTTATTTTCATAAGTGTTTAGTATATGTTATAGTCTCATTTTAAAAACTTATATTAAATGATTAAAATTTGGTATTACTTAAGTTATTTTAATTTTTTTTATATTTTTGGCTTTTGATTTAAGTTAGATTGCCAAGTATCTTGTTAATTAATATATTAAAACTTTTGGCTATTATTTTTCTAGTCAAGTTAAAATTAATGAGCTTAATTTCATATACTTGAAAAAAAATTAATTTCACATAGATGTTTGCAACTGCGATAAACGCTATGTACCGAAAACATGACCGTGATTGTAATTTAAATCCCTACATGGTAGTGAACCCAATGATGACGTGGAACATTATCGATGTGTGGCATGTTTTAATTGACTACATGGGACACGTCATACATTGGCCTGACATACTTAGTGGATGTGCAATATGATTAACAGAAGCAAAGTTTGAGTATCTAATTGCACTTTTTTAAACTTTATATGTACCAAATCGAACATTTGACTATAGTTTAAGTACCCACTGCATAATTAAACCTTTCTTTATTATTATTATTATTATTATTATTATTATTATTATCAAACTTAGATCAGAATGATATGTGATAGTGGGCTTACTGCTGAACAGTAGGAAGAATATTATGGAATCATTTGGAGGTTGGTATTTATGGCTAAAGTTGTTTGGCATGGGTCGAAGATAATATGCAAATAAAACAAGTGGTCGAAAGGAAATTTAAGACTAGTAGCAAACCAAGACAAGTGTATAAGAAATAAGTAAGATCTTAATTGAAGTTATGATTAGAAAATCAGTCCTTTGAGATGACTTATCACATGCTCTAAGGTCATTATTGTGCAATAGTGATTAAAATAAAATAGAAACAACAAAAAGAATAGGAGACAAACCAAAAGTTTATGTAAGTTGGAAGTAGTTAAGGGAGATTTGGCATTTAAATATCTTCCACAAGAATGTGCTTTGGCATTTGCACAGGCTTTTCTACGAGTCCTTTTGTATATCTTTTATATATTTGGTTGTGGCCTATCTCCTTTTTTTTTTTTTTTCTTTTTTTCAATGTGTTATTAAGAAAAAAAAAAAATTTACTTAGCATAGAGCTTGAGATAGAGGATTCATGTTGTGTCCATTGTTTGGGGATGCTTGATCTGAGTTAATTGGTTTTATATGTGGCTGATATTTCTAATTGTGGAACCTGCAAAAAAGTTTTTAATTACCAGTAAACATGAGTTTTGTTTAAATTCAAGAAGGTAAATGTTTTTGCTGTAGATTTTCTTGGAATGTGAAAGTTGGCATTTTTTTGGTTCTATAGCTATTTTTTTCCTTACATGTCTTCTGCTATTATTTTCTTATAAAACATTCAATTCCTTATCCTTATTTTTCTTGGCCCTGATGGTTTCCCTGCTTCAGTTTGGGAAAAAATGTCATGCAGAATGTGCTCGGTTCTCACCAGATGGGCAGTTTCTTGTTTCTTCTTCTGTTGATGGATTTATTGAGGTTTGATATCTTCAAAAAGGGAAACTGTCTCCATTAGTGTAAATTATATCATAAATTATATTGATGATCTTTTATTGTGTTAACTTTTTTGTTAACAGGTCTGGGATTATATAAGCGGGAAGCTCAAGAAGGATCTTCAATACCAGGCTGATGTGAGCACTTTGTTTCCTTTTTAAAATTATTTATTTCATTATTGTTTTGTTTGATTACTGTCTCCAATACCAAGTGGAAGGACTTCCTGCATAAAAGTAAACAATTCCTAATTCTAGCGTGATTATTATACTTTAATTGTCTGATATTTGTCTATATCTTTTATTTTTCTGGTCATTAAAAAAAATTCATTTGTAGGTCTGTGTTTTTATTCCTTATGGAAGGATTACTTTTCTAAGATTCTTCCACTTGTTTTTATAGTTACACTATGATTTTTTGGAGTTTTGTTTATATCATTTTCTTTTCCTGGCCAATTAAAAAAGCATTCATCTGTAGATCAGTGTTGTTGTTACTTTATGGAAGGATTAAATTTGCCAAGTTGCTTCCACTTGTTTTAATATGTATTTCAGCATCTTGATATATTCTGATTAATAAGTTAAATTATGCTTATAGGTTTTGTTTGTTTATAATGTAAACTAAAAACGTATACGAAGATTAACATTGATCATTAAAATTAGCTCAAAAGCATCTTATATATGATTATGTAGAGTGTACTTATTTCGTTTCCTCTTACTTAAACTTTGTTTCCTGTGAGGGTAAAATGAAGGCATGAAGTTAGATTGTTAAATGGGGATTATGTTTGTGCTCACATGAACTTAATCTGGACTTAATACTAGTTACATAAATTCATTGATCATAAACTCAATGCAGTTTCTTGTGAATATAATTGTATGTAATTGGTTACATCTATTTTCCGCATCATTTGTTATTAGATATTCATCAAAGCAGGAACCTCATGTGTTGTTAGTTATGCATCCTCATCAGCGCATTATATCTTGCTTGCAAATCAAACAATCTTTATGTCTTCACTTCTATGGAATTTGTTTGCACATGAGATTTTTGCTTAGAGAGTATGTATCATGAGCATCCTACAATTTTCACTTTCCTGTTTATAGCGAAAGTCGATTTTCTTTCCTCTTATCCTACTGAAATAAAGATAAAAAATGATAAATCATTTTGAAATTTCGCTGTGCATGGTTTGGCAGCATGTGTAAAATTATTTTGAATGAAAACTAAATCTGAGGCCTTTAAACTTTTCTTTTTGAATGAAAAATAAATCTGAGGTCTTTAAACTTTTCTTTGTGTAGAGACTAGCAATGAAATTTGAATGATAAATATTACTAGGTAACCTTGTATTAGTGTGATGTAGCATGGGAGTAGAAAAATGTAAAAGAAAACAGAACACTGGCTAAAATCGATAAAGAATTGAAGTTCAAACAAGAACAGGATTCATGATCGTAGAATCAATTGCAATGATATTAAAATATGCTGTGGCTGCTGTAGAACACTGGCTAAAATCGATCAAGAATTGAAGTTCAAACAAGAACAGGATTCATGATTGTAGAATCAATAGCAATGATATTAAAATATGCTGTGGCTGCTGTAGGAGATCAGAAGACTATTTACACTGGGGTACAAAGCAGCTATTAGTCCCTTATTTGTTTTCCTTAAAAATTTATGGCTACTAAATGAGTTCAAAAGACTTTTAATAGTAGGGTTACTGAGCAGTTTCTTCTTATTAAGTATACTAGTAGATGCTGACTTAATTAATGACAAGCTCTTTGTAAGCTAAATTACGCAGTTAATGATGATGCACCTTACCACTGTATAGAACTTCAAATGATTGGTAGAATAGCGATGATGTCTGTTTTTTAACTTCTCATTTAAAAGCTCCACCAGCATCCCATCTTGACTAAGAGCAGTTTTGTTCCAGTATTTGATTCATCACATAGCGCAATAAGTAACTTCTCCAAATCTGATTGTGTAAAAGCAAATGCTTCCTTTATCGTCAGTATGGTTCAAAAAGGTTTCTATACAGAATTCAAACTCTCAAAGTTGTCATTTTTCAAGATTTACTGATGGGACTTCTAAAAGAAGTAATGTTCCCTATGCATTTCTTGTAGAGCAAGACTAACCCATAAAAACTTTGAATTTCTTTGATTGATTTTGGTGATCTTTACCCTTTAATGCTTAACGCTTTCTCCCGCTTTGGTTTCAGTCCTTTTCTTCCCACAGTTAAACCTTGAAACAACACCTTATGGCACAAGGAAAAAAAATATTCTTCAAGTTTATAACTAGATTCTCTCTAATGGTTGCTACTAAAACTTGATTTGGATTTAGTATAAATCAAGATGTCATCGAAAGAAAGGGCCAAAGTTTAGTTCAAGAAAGGCTTTAGTGCCTTTATCAAAACTTGCATGAATGTGCTTGGTGCATTTTGAATCAAATATCACTAACCATTTTTAGAGCCCATATGTAGTCTTGAAGGTTGTCTTCCTTTCTTCAAGACTCGTTAGTTTGATATGATGATAACTACTTCTTACATCAAGATTAGAGAGCACAGTAGATTGTGTTGATTGACCAAGCATAACTTCTAGTAAGGGGTGGTATCTGATAGTAGTAACTTTGTTGATGGCTTGACTTAAAGCAAATGAAAGTAGTAACATCAGGAACCATCCTTCTTAGGACAACTTTGGCTGGAAAAGCAAATTAGAGCATTTAATCCTAGCCCTTGGTTACAAATGATCCCCTTCTAATTTAGGCTTTAAAACTAATTAGAAGGTTACAATCTAATCACATGATAATATATATGAACCATAGGCAATTAAAATAACAAACATAAGATAAAATGACAAAATAAGCACTTTAGTTAAGTTATAGGATGCTTGTGCATGAACATGTTTGATCTTGAATTGTGTCCCAAATTATTTGGGTTGAATAGCTTGAGTAAGCTTCTAATTAAACTAAACCAAGCTCATGAGTGCTTAGTACACTTAGCATATTGGAAAACTGTGTGGATGGTAATTAGTTTTATCTGAACAGAATATGAAGATGGGTTTCCTTGTGATCAAATTATAGATGCAGATAGTTCTTATGAAAAGCCCTAATATAATGTCTTGGGAGAGACAGTTAGCAGATGTAGTCTTACTGGTCTAATTGCCCCATGTTTCTGTTAGCCATTGCAAAGTTAGTTACTCATGATGAGGTTGCCTTAAACAAAGTAATTTTCTGTAAACTGATTGGTTCTGTAACCTCATATTTGTTGATAGCTATGACTGTTTGTGAGAATCATACTTTGATTCTGAGTTGAATGTGAACAAGAAGCAACCATTACTGCTGTCATGTTTGCCATTCACCTGTCTTCAAGAGAGGATGGATGATTGTATTCTTTCTCTTGTCCTTTTGTTACTTTTATTTTATTCTTTTTTTAACATTTGTGCTATTCTTGACATATCATCACAGGAAACTTTCATGATGCATGATGATCCTGTCCTTTGTGTTGATTTTAGCAGAGATTCAGAGATGATTGCATCAGGGTCACAAGATGGAAAGATTAAGGTAAGTTACGTTGCATATGCTTGAATTTATGTTCTAGTTGTCTGTGCTCTGGACAATGACGAGTCTATCCTCAAAATCCTATGCAATTTCTTGTTTACCACCTGCCTTTTGTTTTAGGAATTTGTCTAATGAAAACATGTTGTGAGAAGCCTGAAAGAATTAGTAGTTTGTCTGATGATATAATATCAGTTCTAGTTGGTATTTTAATGGTTGCTTGACATTTGTCAGTCAATTTTGGGTCCAAGGAAACTTATATCTTTTGATGATTTTAATACTTTCTGATCTTCAGTTGTTGCTTCCTTTGCTTTTCATGTTTCCGTTGTTTTAAAGGGTTTTCATTTACATAAAATACTTTTATGCAGTGCCAAGAATGATATCTATTGTTGTAAGGTGCTTGTATCTCATGCAATGGTTAAAAATGTAAAACTGCAATTCCTTTTCCTTGACAAGAAATGAGGTAGTTACAATGCCACAGCTAGAGTGATTGGTAGCTACCATATGACAAACATAAAACAATGGGAACACTGCTACTATTTAAAATAGCAGTAGTCTCTACAATGCTAAGAACATCAGTAGCTGGAGGAAATTTCGAAACTTGTAGCGGATGGTTTTTATTTTGGGTCTGGATAACAGGTGCCTATAGGCACTAATTAAGGATAGTTAAAATACTATTTTAAGAAAGGTTTTTACATCTAATGCACTATTTTCACCAAATCCAAGAAGGAGCAATGCATTAATTACAAATCTTTTTTCTTAAATATTGTCTTAACCAGTGCCACTAGGCACTGTTTAACATCTCCCTTTTATTTTACTTGTCAATTTTTGGTTTTTGGAACTCATTTTATGCTCCATTTTCATGGTGGGACTTCATCTTCTGAGTTCATAAGATGTACCTGATTATACTTGATGCTACACCTCTGTTGAAGCAAGTTGAATTTCTTGTCAGTATTGCATTTTTTGTCAAGTAGCAGCTTTCTTTGTGAAATCAAATGTCATTGGTTTACAATTGGAACTTAATAGAAGTCATGCAAGTACAATCTGACTTGTAACATTTTTTCAGGTTTGGCGCATAAGGACAGGTCAATGCTTGCGCCGTCTTGAACGAGCACACTCTCAAGGTGTGACAAGTCTTGTCTTCTCTCGTGATGGAAGCCAGTTACTAAGTACATCTTTTGATAGTACTGCAAGGTACTGGTATATGGCCATCTCCTTTTCATATACTCTTAAGTGTTTGCTTATGTTTTTTCATTCTGAAATTCTCATACCCATCAGTGAATGTTTTGGGTGCTGATATTTTTCCATATAAATGGTCATGATGTATTGATTTCAGGTGCCAAATCTGACAAATTCTCTGATTGCTTCTTTCCACCCACCTTTTTTTTTTTCTCTTTTTGGGGTGCAGAATCCATGGATTGAAATCTGGAAAGTTGCTGAAAGAATTTCGTGGCCATTCATCTTATGTGAATGATGCCATTTTTACAGCGGATGGAAGTCGTGTTATTACTGCCTCCAGTGACTGCACCGTGAAGGTAAATTATCTAACATGTAGTCAAATTTCAATCTTTTAGTCTTATGTTTGGTACATAACTGTCATGCTGCCTTTTGTAGGTCTGGGATGTAAAAACAACAGACTGCCTACAAACATTTAAGCCACCACCTACTTTAAGGGTATTCTATTTCTCAATAAAGTAAGCTCATATCATAATATCATTTATGATGCTCTTGTCTTTACACCTTTGCTTTATATCTTTTGATTGGTAGGGTGGTGATGCATCAGTGAATTCAGTTCATCTTTTCCCCAAAAACACAGATCATATTATTGTATGCAATAAGACATCATCAATATATATCATGACACTTCAAGGACAGGTAAGTTTGAAAGGAATTTTACTCCTGTTAATGTGATTTCACATTGTTATGATTTCGCTTAGTCCTTTTCTCAAATTACTGGATTGATGATTGCCCCTTCTTTCTTATTATCAAAGCATATTCAATTCTTGGAGTTTTAATAGCGGGTCCATTGGAAATAACTTAAATTAACTATTGTTTTTGTTGAAATTATTAAATTATGATCTCCTTGACCACTGTTGCCAATGCTAGTTTTGCCACTTCCACCTTTCTGTCATGATTTTTTATTGAGTTCTATCTTTTGCTATACCATAGTAAGCATTATCTATTCTAAGTCATAACTCATTAAGCTACACTTTAGAAATTTTAATCTGATGGGAAGAAATGAATTTGAAGTTCTGAATCTTTTAATATTGCTTCTAAGCCTAAATCTTTAAAAAATTTTTATCATTCTAGTGAATATAAAGAGGATGAAGTATCGGTGCTTTCCCTTTATTAGCAATGGTAATTGTGGAAACTGAATGTATATTGAAAAACTGCTTATCTACAATTATACAAGAATCTTAGGTTTATATACAACTAACTAGGGGTTAAACTAGGAAACTAAATCTTCCTTAATTCTAGGGATACAAATACTTAATTCTAGAGATACAAATATAAATATACAGATTACAAGATTACAACCAGCTGTAAATAAGTGTTTTTCCAAACTCCCCTTCAAGCTGGTGAATAGGTGTTTTCCATTCCCAGCTTGGAAATAATTTCTTGAAATGTTGCACTGCTGAGACCTTTAGTCAACACATCTGCAAGTTGACCCTTGGTTGATACATAAGGTGTACAAATCAACCCACTGTCTAGTTTCTCCTTTATGAAATGCCGGTCTACTTCAATGTGTTTTGTTCTGTCATGTTGCACAGGATTGTGTGCAATGCTTATTGCAGACTTGTTATCACAGTAGAGTCTCATTGGTCCATCCCACTTGATCTTCAAGTCTTCTAGGATAATCTTTAACCATAGTAGTTCACAAATTCCTTGAGCCATTGCTCTGAACTCTGCTTCAGCACTTGATCTTGCCACCACATTCTGTTTTTTACTCCTCCAAGTCACAAGATTACCATCTAAGAAAGTGCAGTAGCCTGAGGTAGATCTTCTATCAGTTACTGAACCTGCATAATCAGCATTTGTATATGCTTCTAGAACTAACCCCGAATCTCTTTTGAATAAGATACCTCTCCCAGGATTGGCCTTCAAATAGTGCAATATACGGTAGACAGCCTGTAGGTGCACTTCTTTAGGACTATGCATAAATTGACTTACCACACTCATAGCATATGCTATATCAGGTCTAGTATGTGAGAGATAAATGAGTCTTCCAACTAATCTTTGGTACATCTCTCTATTTACAGCAGCATCTTCATTAGCTTCTCCAATTTTATGATTAGGATCTATAGGGGTATTTGTAGGTTTACATGCAAGCTTCCCAGTTTCCTTCAGAAGATCCATCACATATTTCTGTTGTGAGATAAAAATACCATGCCGTGAGTGAGCTACTTCAATTCCTAGGAAGTACTTCAATCTCCCTAGCTCTTTTATCTCAAATTCTCTAGCCAAACACTGTTTTAAAGATTCTCTCTCTTTTTCATTATCTCCAGTTACAATTATATCATCAACATACACTAATAGAACTGTGACTCTCCCTGAATCAGAGTGCTTGATAAACAATGTGTGATCTCCTTGACTCTGTTTATATCCCATTGCTAGCATCACTTTGGCAAATCTCCCGAACCAAGCTCTAGGAGACTGTTTAAGGCCATATAAAGCCTTTTTTAACCTGCATACTTTGTTTGCTTCTAGATGACCTCCAAATCCCGATGGAACCTTCATATATATTTCTTCTTCCAAATCACCATGTAAAAAAGCATTCTTTACATCAAATTGTTGAAGCTGCCAATTGTAATTTGCAGCTAATGATAACAAAATCCTAATTGTATTCATCTTGGCAACTGGAGCAAAGGTTTCTTGGTAATCCACTCCATAGGCCTGACTGTAGCCCTTAGCCACTAACCTGGCTTTATACCTTTCAACAGTACCATCTGCCTTGTATTTTACAGTGAAAACCTATTTACACCCCACTGGATTTTTTCCTTTAGGCAACTCTACCAGTTCCCATGTCTAATTTTTCTCTAAGGCCTCCATTTCTATTTTCATGGCTTGCCTCCATTTCTCACTGGATAATGCCTCGGATAATGTAGTTGGAACAGAAATAGTGTTTAGGCTCACAAGAAAATTTTTGTGGGATGGTGAGAATTTTTCAAATGACACAAAATTAGATATTGGGTATAGTGGATGCTTGGTACATTCTCTGGTTCCTTTCCTAATGGCAATAGGCAAATCATAATCACTAGTTATAGTTTTAGGAGATTCATGCTCATTTTGAGAAACAGAGTCAAAAACTATAGTTACCTCATTTCCAGAGTTAGGATCAGGTTCTTGGATTGGCACTGGTTCAGGATCTGGAACTTTCCTTCTTGAGTACACCTGTAATTCCTTCATAGAATCAAGAACAATATTATCCTTTGTCACATCTTCCATATGTGGAATGGGTTCAGACTCAAATTCAATGTTTGACTTGGGCTCAGCAGAAACAGGTTTCGACTCATAAGAATTAATGGGTGTAAATGTTGAAAAAAGGGGCAAATCAAGCAAAAAGAAGTCTTTATCCTTATTTTCCATGAATGAAGTCTCCCCCTGAAGATAAGGTTGAGTAAAAAATGGTTTATTTTCTTCAAAAGTGACGTCTGCAGACACAAAATTTTTTGGTAGGAGGATGATAGCACTTATATCCTTTTTTAGTTGAAGAATACCCCACAAAAATACACTTAATCGCTCTTGGATCCAACTTTCCCCTGTTATGACTGTGAACATGAACAAATGATGTACAACCAAATATCCTAGGTGTGAGATTGTTTGTGGTATTGAGGTTGGGATAAAATTGTGAGAGTAGTTCCATAGGAGTTTTAAATCCCAAAACTCTTGAAGGTAACCTATTTATAATGTGTGTGGCAGTGAGAACAGCTTCCCCCCAATAAGATTTAGGTACATTTGCTTGAAAAAGAAAGGCTATGGTTGTGGCTAATAAATGGCTGTTTTTTCTCTCTGCCACTCCATTCTGCTGTGGAGTATTAAAACAAGATGACTCATGGATAATCCCCTCTTTTTGGAAATAGGTGGATAGACTCTGGTTGAAGTAGTCTTTTGCATTATCAGACCTAAATCTCTTGATTCTTACTCCAAATTGATTTTGGATCATGTTTTGGAAGCTTAAAAATACACTATTCACATCTGATTTGGATTTAAGTAAAAAAACCAAGAGACCCTAGTACAATCATCTATGAATGAAACAAACCATCTCGCACCAGAAATATTAAGAATTGTAGAGGGATCCCAAATGTCACTATGAATCAAGTAAAAAGGAGTAGAACTTCTTTTGTTGCTGATTGGAAAAGACACATGTCTATGTTTTGCAAATTCGCAAATATCACAATGAAAATCTTCAACATTTAATTCTTTGAACAAAGAAGGAAACATGTTTCTCAAGGTTCCAAAAGAAGGATGTCCAAGACGAAAATGATAAAGCCAGATTTTGTCTTTAGTGGAAGATTTTTCAGAAAGAAATGACAAAAGTAAACTATTTTTTATACTAGTGTTATTTGATGTCTCAAGATAGTATAGTCCATCCTTCTCCTTAGCAAGTCCAATCATCTTCCCCGAACTCTGGTCCTGAAATTCACAATAAGAGGGATAAAAAGTTACTTTGCAATTCATATCTCTGGTAAGTTTTTATATAGATATCAGATTAGTAGACAATCCAGGAACCTGAAGAACATTTTTTAGAACAAACGAGGGATTAACTTGAACATCTCCTAATCCTGCCATTGTGGTAAGTAAACCATCAACAACAACAATTTTCTTATTACTAGGACACAGGTTATATGTATTAAACTTTTGTGGGGAATGTGTCATGTGGTCTGTGGCTCCTGAGTCAATGACCCAAGAACTCGTAATAGGCTTAGCCGAAACATTTAATCCATGAGAACCGGAAGCTTTACCTGAACTAGAAACTTTACCCAAAGAACATACCATAGTAGGCTTTTCAAGGATTTTCAATAAGTTTCTTAGCTTTTCAATCTCTTCACTGTTGAACTCTCATTGTTTCTAAGACATCTGTAGTACTCCAGTGATTTTCCCAGTTAACATTTCCTCAAATTGGGTGATAGTGATATCTTTCTTTGAAAGGGTTCGGCAATGAAGGCCTAAACAGGATTCGGCAATGAAGGCCTAAAAAAGTCGGCAATGAAGGCTGAAATTTTTTCTTCCCAAGAAGAGCCTAAAGCTCTGATACCATGTGGAAACTGAATGTATATTGAAAAACTGCTTATCTACAATTATACAAGAATCTTAGGTTTATATACAACTAACTAGGGGTTAAACTAGGAAACTAAATCTTCCTTAATTCTAGGGATACAAATACTTAATTCTAGAGATACAAATATAAATATACAGATTACAAGATTACAACCAGCTGTAAATAAGTGTTTTCTCACAGTAATATTAGGTTTGCTTGTAGTTAAGCTAATACTCTGTAAACTCTTCATATTTTTGTCCTATGCTGGTGGAATGGAAATGAGCTTTTATGATCATACTTTACTTCCATAATGGTTGTGGTGCAGGTTGTGAAAAGCTTCTCATCTGGTAAAAAGGAGGGTGGGGATTTTGTTGCTGCCTGTGTCTCACCAAAAGGTGAATGGATATACTGTGTAGGCGAGGACAGGTAATGCTTGAAAATATTCTTTTAAGAAATATAAAATTTAGATTATAAAGGTGATTGAGGGCCCAATCAACCTGTAAAGCCTCCAAGGGAAGGAAATCTCTTCAGCCAGCTCTTATTTGGCATGTTGAGAAGAGGGCTATTAAGTTTTAGCATGGGAACTTGATGTGTTTATTGTTATTGTAATTTTTGGCAGCTTAGTTTTGGTAAAATGACTAATGAAAAGGTCCTGGAAGTTCTTTTCACTGCCACTTTTTTGGTTGATAAATTTGGCCTGCTGAGAAATCTCACTACTTTGCAATATAAAGATTAATGATTACAAATTGTTTTCCTTTGAATTTGAAAACAAGCATTTACAGGTTTGTTTCTTGGCAATACCCCGCTACTATTAAATATAAAGTTTGGTATGGCCTTATATTCACGTTGGGTGTCTCCACCTGTTGTCAATTTGTTTTATATGGTGTCTTAACATGGTATCAGAAAACAAGTTGTTGTTGCCCCTTATTTGTTATCCATGTGTTAGCTCCCTCTGTTTTTGTTGTTAATATTCAGCTTGCACATGAGGTAGTCTATTAGCTATTGTTATCCTGCAGCGGTTAAGTTTAGAGTTCATTGTTACCTTATATTCAGGTTGTCAACATGTATTTATTCAAAGTGGCTTCTACTACCTCCAACTGTTGTTCTAGATCCAATCTCCAAGTTTCCATCATCTTGATTTCATGATTCCAAATTTTGTCTTCAGTCTCTTTTTCTCGCCGATACTAGTGATTCTCCTCTATAAACAAGTAATACTGCCTTTGAGCATTCTTGGCTTCTTATTCTGCATATCTCGCTGTTAGTACTACTAGTTTCTCTATCTCCTTGTTAGCCTTCCCTTGGTATTTTTACTCTTTAGTATTGGATTTCTGTGTGATCACTGGGTAAATTACTGCCCCGTGATGAGTTGTAAAACAGCATCAAAAGGCACCTTTATTATCTGTTTTTCACTATTATTGTTGTTGGGTTGTAATTTCCATCAAGGTTTCCTTTGGCCAATCTGTTCCTTATCTCGTTCTCACAACTCCCTAGATTCTCTTACTCTTTATGGTAGTGCTTCTTGGAACTTGGTGTGAAACTTTTCAAGCGCTTTTTTATGTTGCAGGTTTTCTTTTATATAGCTATTCTCGCTTTTCGTCCCACTTCTCCTTGTCCTCTAGAAATCCTTTTTCTTCCCTCAAAGCCCTGGCTCATCTTTCTTAATGCTTAAGCTATGGACTAAGCCTTCAAAGTCTACAATCTCTTCTTACAATGGGGCAAATTTGAGAGCTACCTCTGATTCTATGTGATAGGCTTTAAGAATTCTAATTCCACAGGGCCCGGATTTTTTAGTTTTTGAGGGTATTTTTTTTGCCTGGTGTCTTACAACAGATAAGGTCCTGACTGCCTTAGTAAATGTGGTCCAGAAACTGTCCACTGTGGGATTTGTTGCAGTGGAAGAATCAGGACTCATGGCTGCACATAACTAACTGTTAAGCCATTTATCCTTGGACATAATTTATCAGTTTATTGAGTAAAATATGCACCCTTTTTCTCATTGGTGGATGCAATATACTTGGTTGTGAAGTTCAGGTGCTGTTGTAATGTTCAAGCATTGGTGTCTTATCTGGGAAATTTATAATTGGCTGCTACTTGATTAACAAGATTTCTTCCTTTTTGCTGCTGAATGTTATGGAAATTACTTGGTTAACAATGTCTTTAAAAGTAATGTATTTTTCTTAATTTCTTTATCATTTTTAACTTGCTTTTATTTAATTTGTATTAATATCTGCAGGAATATGTACTGCTTCAGCTACCAAACTGGAAAACTAGAGCATCTAATGACGGTAAGCACTCAACTTGAGGCTAAGTTTGTCTATTCCGCACTTCTTTTTTGTCTTTTCTTACTTTCTAGAGTTTGTTGTTTTCTTCTATATATATTTTTTAAATTTATAAACTAAAGAGTATATTTCCATTTTCACTCAAGCCATCTTTCCTTGTTCTAATTTAAATCGATCTAGAAGCCAGCTTTAAGAAAAGAAAATTGAAATTGGATTGGTGGTATATGTAGATGGTTCGTTTACTATAACCTTAATTTCATGATTTGGAATCATTACTAAAGTTAATTTGGAAAATCAATAAAGAAAACAATAAAAATCAAGTTAGAATAATGAATATATCTTCAATCCAATTGTTTAGGAGATCTTCATAAATGAATATCTTGGGCAATTCAATTCACCCTTTATACAAAAATTTCAAAATGTGAATGGGAATCCTTCTTGATTAACTACAGATCCTTCTAATTTACCAGTAATTTCTGAAAGCCCTGCTACCGAGATATAATGGGCTCTTTGAGAAGGAAAATGTGGCTATGGGTGTTGGTAGCTCAGAAAGATTCTCTACTGTGATTGATGTTGACCATGGGGGGATTTGGTTGTTGTGTCCTGAACCAAAGATGGCTCTTAAGAGTTGACTGTTAATGACCGTGTCAGCTAAGTTTTGCATGTTTGGTGGTGTCCACGTGGGCTGTATTCCTCTTGGTGATATAGTATTTAATAAATTAAAAAAGAGAAAACAGAAAATAAATCAATTGAAGTAATAACAATTTGAATGTAATTTCATATTGTTAGTAACATTGAACCTTTGTATCAAATGATATTTCGGACAACTATTGTATCTTCATGCATGCAGATCTTCAGTCTCGTTTGTCTCTGCATGGTGTGTAAATATCCCTTACCCCCAAATTCTGTCGTTAAAACTATAAAAGTTGTACTTAAATATTCACCTTGAAAATCACAAACGTAAAGGAAGAAAAATTAAGCCTGTGGTGTCTCCTCAACTGTTATAAGTCTTTAACAAAAAAAACAAAAACAATAAAATCATAAATTTGTACATAACTCTATTTGTTTATACGCATAGCACTAACAAATCACATACTAACATTTTCTTGTAATTATTAGTAATATCAAAATATAATTGCTGATTAAATGGGCATATTATAAATAAAAGATTAAAATAGTATTTGTGTGCATATATAGGTCATTAGGTATCATAATTAAAAGTTTAAAGTACTCTATATATGCTTATATTAAATTTAAATGGGTATAAAAACATGTTTTATGTGTCTTACACTTGTTAAGCGTGTTCTCTTATGTTACAACTAATTTAAATGTCATTTGTGTCTTACATGTGTTAAATATACTTGCATGTTTTACAAATCTCCTCATGCAGATTTTGCTTTTTGAAACTGTGAGCTAGCCTTTATCTTACCTCACAACTTGTTATAAAATTGAACCATCATAATAACCTTTTAATCTTTAACAACCTGTGTAGAATTCATATGTATGCGCCCTCCTCAGATTGTTCTTGAATTTCATGCACGGATTGATCATACATAATGCAATAGAATGGATATCCATGTAGCATAAGATATTTTCTGCATTTAGAGTTGCTTCAAGTTGAAAGATTCCGAAGTTGGGGCCAACTGTACTATAACTCTGTATTACGTTTATGTCAATGACAGGTCCACGAAAAGGATGTAATAGGTATTACACATCATCCTCACAGGAATCTTGTTGCTACATATGCTGAAGATTGCACCATGAAATTATGGAAGTCTTAAATTCAATCTCTGTTATTTCGTTTCATTTCGGTTGTTTTTTTTTTTAGAAAATTTAGCTTTTGATGTGTTATGTATGTTACCGGTTGTGTGGAGAGAACCAAAAATGTTTCATTGATGGTTTCAGTAACTAACTATTTAGATACAAATTATAATACACTTGCCCATAGTTTTATCCTCTGAACTTGTCAATTTTATATGATCTTTAGCTGGACAGCTGCTTTCTGATGTTAATGGCTTGAGCACCTGCATAACTCAATGTGGGAAAATTTCACTTACAGTCCCTTAATTGTTATTTCAATTTTATTTTTTAAAAAGGGAGGCTAAAGATTAGGAAATATGAGCAGAAATTTAGGAGTGTTGGAATTGAACGAATGCATTAAACCATCGAAGAAATTGAAGCGTCAAAGACAAGGGCTGCTGACTTTTTGTAGTCTTCAAAGCAGACTTTGAGAAGTTTCCCAAGGAGAGAAACTCTTGGATTTATTTCGCTTCTTGATTTAATTTGCAGATTGCATGATGTAGAAAGAGCACGCCTGGAAAGTTAAAAAATACATGGTATCTAGCTATCTATATATATTAATTGTAGCTTTGAAGTTGGTGAAAGTAGCCTAATTATATGTGAATGACTCTTTCATTAAACCATGCCAAATTATATCTAGTTTGAGCGTGACCATTACACCAGCCCGTACATTACTAGTATAAATATTAAAACGTTTCCAACCTTATTGTTTCAACTCAGAGCCTTGAAATTTCATCTCTCAGACAACTAAGCTGTAACTTTTCCATAATGGGTGGCAAAGGTGGGAGTGGCGGTGGTAGCAAAGGTAGTGGGAGTGGCGGTGGTAACAAAGGTAGTGGAAGTAAAGGTGGGGGCAGTGGTGCTGCTGGAAAAGGTGGAGGCGGAGGAGGCAGGGTTTCGGGAATGATGGTAGCTCCGGGGAGTGGAGGGGCAACATTTATTTCGAGGGGCTCTTTGGAAAGCAACCCCCAGGGTTACTTCTCTGGCCTCCATTCAAGCGGAAAGGGCAACAAGTAAACGTTAATTCTGGGAAAACATCCATCATCTTCATCATGTGATTGTAGTTATACATGATTAATAAATAAAATTATCTTTGGGAAAATGGCAGTATCTCTTTTTTTTCAGCATTACACTCTACTTGCTCATCTTTAAATTATTGACTTCACAACATTAAATGCTTATATTCTTTGTTTGTTGTACTGCTTCAACTTCCGCCATACCCACATCCCAAAGCTGCAATTATAGTTCCCATGTATGAATCGCTTTTATCAACTCTATCTTTAGTTCTATGGCTTCCATGCATAATTCTAGAACCAAAAAAATATAAAAAAAGCAACAGAAAAATGTTAAAATATTTGACAGTTCAACTGCAATCCAGTTGTCTACTGTGCGATTTATCATTGAAACAAAAAAAAAAAAAAAAGCCCATGAAATGATTTATTAGTTGTTTCCAGTTCAGTTGGGAGCCGATTAAAGAGCTCACACAGCAACAACATGTGCGATTTATCATTGGATTTCCTCTAATTAAACTTTCAAATGTGTCTTTGATTTGTGAAATAAGAGAAGACTTTCTTTTTTTCATTTTAAGAATTAAACTTATTGTTTTGCTTTCAAAAAATTTAATTACTCTTTTCTAGGAAATTTTATTTTTTGTTAAATTAACAATTAATTACTATGCAAGATTACAGAATGTGTTGAAACTTGAAGCGATATAGATTGTATATCTTTTATTAAGTGGATTAATTAGTGGGGTTTTATACTTAAAAAATTAGTAAAGCCAGCACTAAGTGAAGTAATGCTTAGTGCCTTCTGCTATCATGAGCAGTAAAGAAGATATACATATGATATGTACTGAAAATATCTTGAAGCCAATATAAATGTATGTGTTGGACAACAGAAAGTCGTGCTTTAGCCCAGGTATGTTTTGCACTTAACTTGGGCTTAAAGTTGGTAACGCATGGATTTCAGCCTTAATTAGTCAAGTGATATACATAACTTGGTTAATTCAAAATTTAATCAAATTAATCGACTTAAATTTAGTTGATTAATTTCTTGAAGTTAATAAATTTGATTCGATTAATAAAAATAAAATAAAATAATTTTATTTTGAATAATTTAATTAAAAATTAATCTTATTATTCGATCTAAATAAACTCAACCTACACTTAAGAGAACAAACCATTGATTTCAATCAACCTCGACTTTCCTCTCTTTACCATCAACCAATTTTTAATTTTATATTAATTTACTTTATACAAAGAACAAACACTAAATGATTAAAAAAGATAATAATCCTATTAATAATCCATTGCAAATAAAAGCAATGAATACATAAATGCCCTTAAAACGATTTTTTATTATAAGTTCTACCTTTATTTCTGCTTGGACTGTTACATTTGGGATAATTTAGTGTTGTTTATGCCAAAAGTGAAATTATTTTGCTAATTAATTTGTTGAATTGATAAGGTTTGAATTTAGATTCAAATTCTGCTAATAGCATTTTTTTTATTGATAACGATATATAAATTTAATATAAATTATTTCTAAAAATTACGATTTACCCTGAACTCAAAATTTTTTTTAAACAAAAATGAAAAGATGTCCCATGTAAATATAAGTTGCTTAATATTAATTTAGAAGAGATAAGGTTGAAGTTGAAGCCTTGGTTAACCTAGGACGAGGATAACATTGATAACTGTGAGATTGGCAGTCATCGCATGAAATTGGTGATTTATTGTTAAACAAAAAAAAAAAATCAAAAGAAAATAAGGAATGGTTGAAGAAAGAGGCAAAGGCTGCATGCAATGTTGGAGTGCAGAGTGTAATTACTGCCTTGGAGGAAAACAGGTGAATTCATTTACTGCTTTTCAACAACCAACCATACCTCGTATATTTAACACCAATTCAGACACCAACTTCTCGACCCCTATACTCACTGCTTACTTCACTACTCTTTCTTTATTTCTTTCTGATTTCTCCACTCTCTTCAGAGAAGTATGGCGTTGTGGATATTATGCCTGCTTGTTGTTTTAGGTATGGGGTTCAACATGGTTTCAGGACAAGGAGAAGACCCTTTTGGGCCAGAAGGAGGGAGGAGAAGAGAAATGGTGCCTGCCATGTTCATCTTTGGAGACTCTCTCATTGACAATGGCAACAACAATGACCTTCCTTCTTTTGCCAAGGCCAACTATTTCCCTTATGGCATTGACTTCAATGGCGGGCCTACTGGTCGTTTCTCCAATGGTTATACCATGGTTGACGAAATAGGTCTGTAACTGATCTTTCTCTTCCATCTCTTCCGTTAGTTACTTCTCACTAATTGAACAGAAAATGAATGTGTATGCACATTGCACATGCAGCTGAACTGCTAGGACTTCCTCTGATTCCTGCATACTCTGAAGCTTCTGGCGACCAAGTGCTTCATGGTGTCAACTATGCATCTGCAGCTGCTGGAATCCTTGATATCACTGGAAGAAACTTCGTAAGCATTTCCTTTCGATGCATGTATCCATGATTATCCACATTTCAATCTTGCTTATGTTACTCAGTGACGTCAAAAAGAAAAATAGAATTATATTATTTATGGTGATATTGGATGTTAGGCATTTAATACTGTTCCAATTTTCTAGAGACACTTCCCATACTTCTCAGTAACAGTGCATTAAATATAGGCTGCACCTCCATGCATGCAGTCTTGCCGCTGAAGCCTTAACTGCATTAATTTAGCTGAGTAATTATATTATAACTGCTTAATTATAATAGACGACAAGCGGCCTATATTCGAAACTATTAATTAATGGCAATACTAAATCAAGAAAAATAAGCTCTTTAGAACATCTGCAGTGTGGTTTCTACTTGTAGTACATTAATTAGTATATTCTAAAGTTAATGCACTTATATTTTAATTAAAAGTTTATCTGTTGTACATTATAAATGAATCTGTGTACGACTTCAGAATTTAATTTCTTTTATCTTTGCATGGTGCAAAATTTTATTATGCAGTTTCAATAAACGATAACATGCAATGCAAGTAAAGGTCTTTAAAGCAAACATGTAGAGTTAAACCCTAGTTTAATTCGTTTGTTTCATGTTTATCACTTTTAAGAGATGACATGTCAGAGATTCAAATATCAAAACCTACAACTTATTTTTTACTTTTAGAATACGACATTCTTTATAGTAAAACATGTAGAGTTGATTCTAATGCATAATAGATATTATTTCATATCTATAAAAAAGAGAGAAGAGGGATTTGTTAATTGAAGTTCTCTTGTATTCAGCTGTCTGCAGTTCAAAATGGAAAAAAAAAATCAATTAATGTTCAGTCACTCGAATTTGTTTGGTGCTTATTAAAGCGTGACGTTGGTGAGTAAAATTTCTAATAGTACAAGTTTTGTGGGAGGAGTAAATACTAAATACATTGCTTAGTTTTAAATCACTAGCATTTTCTTACATGTTCTAGTTGGTAACTTTGTATATTTGCTTTGATCAGGTGGGCCGAATACCATTTGATCAACAGATTCGGAATTTCCAGAACACCCTGGATCAGATTACAGACAATCTTGGGGCAGTTGATGCAGCACAAGCACTTGCTCGCTGCATTTTCTTTGTTGGAATGGGCAGCAATGACTACCTTAACAACTATCTTATGCCCAATTACCCAACCCGAAACCAGTACAATGGCCAACAATACGCTGATCTCTTGGTTCAACAATACACTCAGCAACTCAAGGTATGATTTCACACTTAAGCATTAATTGGCCAATTACCATTGTATGCAGTGGCGGATCCAAATGGGAAAGTATAGTGTCCATGAACATTGTAGAAATTGAAATACAAGAAAATTTGAAAGAATTTTTTTTATTGAACACTACGATAAAATTGATAAATCCATCGATATTTTATATTTATATTATAAGTGTATACATCCGAAAAAAGTCCTGGATCCTTCACTGACAATGTTGCCTGTCCTACCATCTTGGTATGAGAAAAGAGAAACCACAATTCGTTGCTTTGTGATGTGCAGACACTATACAATCTTGGAGCACGTAAGTTTGTACTAGCAGGGTTAGGACGAATGGGATGTATCCCAAGCATCCTAGCACAGAGCACAGCCGGAAGCTGCTCAGAAGAAGTGAACCAGCTTGTTCTACCTTTCAATGCAAACGTGAAGGCAATGCTGAATAGCCTTAATGTTAATCTACCGGGTGCAAGATTTATCTATATCGAGATTGCTCACCTTTTTGAAGATCTCATTGCCAATTCCAAAATATATGGTAACTTATAATTTGAAGTTGAATTTTTGGTGATATATAGAAATTGATAGCAGTCCTTCCAAATTGGCATGACACTTCCTGTTCCGTGCATGCAGGATTTAGTGTTGTAAATAGAGCGTGCTGTGGAATCGGACGGAACAGAGGGCAGATTACATGTCTTCCCTTCCAGACGCCATGTGAAAATAGAGATCAGTACGTGTTTTGGGATGCGTTCCATCCAACGGAAAAAGTGAACATCATAATGGCAAGGAAGGCTTTCAATGGGGATACAAGCATTGTTTATCCCATGAACATAGAGCAGCTTGCCAATATTGATATTGAGCCAAATTAGTACTACATGCCCTTAATTGTCATGTTCTATATCTGCACTTGATTTTTCTTCTTGATTGGAAGCAGGAACTTTTATGATAACAAAAAAAAAAAAAAAAAAAAAAAAACCAATGGTTTTTGCTTGTATTGCCTACTTCAATATCTCCTCTATCCTTTGATTTGGCATCATATCTGTTTATTATCCGTCTATATATAAGCAAACAATTGTCAATTTAAAGCAACAACGAACGGCATTGATATAATTGATGGAATTTGGCTGGACTTGCATCTTGAGGTTCGAGATCGATTTGAGATCCAGTCCTTGTAGATTCAAAACAAGTTCTAAATTTTGTAAATTCGAAACATTTTAAGTTTTGATTGTTTTGAGTTTTTGATCGTCTAAGTTTTTTATCATTTTAAATTCAAATCAATTTGGGCAGCAATTATTTTTAAAATTCAAATCAATTTAATTTTGAACCATTTTGAGTTAAACTTTCAAGTTGTTCAAATTTAGGTTATTCAAAACTCTAACGTTAGACATTTGTATTTGGGTAATTTCAAATCCCCCTGTTGCTACTTCCCTTCAACTAACCATGCCACATGTACTTTTGTTATTGGCCCAAGCAAGCACTTTATAAGGCTGATTTGGCTTTAGCATCACTCAATATATATATAATCCCTCTTAAAAAGGTTTCAAGTAGCTACCATATCACCAAATTTGCCACATGTAATTCAGTTCAATTGTTCCTTAAAAAGCAATTGCCTTGGGGCTAAAAAATTCTACCTGGTCTATTATCCTTTAAGACAAAATAGTCAAATTGGATCGTACATGGATTATTCGTGCCATGTGTAACTTGCCAAGTTGACTAATCGAACCCCATGTCATCTTCCCAAGCCAAATCACATTTTTTTTTGCAACGTGTCTTTACCTAATTGGTTGTTATATTTATGATACACCTGTATATATAACTGTATGAGTGTGTTTGGTTTTAATCTTAGAAAAAAACTGTAATTTATGACCCTCTGTTTTAACTAAAGTTGTCCACTACTTCAACCACCAATTTAGGGCTGTGAGCTCGATCTAAGTTGCAAGAACCTAGATTTTAATTTTTTAAATTCGACTTATATCTGGTTTAAGATATTATTATATGAAGAGGAATTCATTTCACTTAGTGTAAATTTTACATTTTTTTATTATTGGATTAAAAGAGCTAAGATCAACAATATCATTTTGATCCAGATTTAATTTTGATCCAATGATCAAAAATATATATATAAATTTACACAAGTGTAGTGAATCTATACTCTTATTATATTAGTATATGGTATATGCTATATATTTTAATTTTTTAATTTAAATATATTAAAATATTTTAATGTTTAATAATCAATTAATGTTACATAAATCGACTTGCGGATATAATTTTTTTTTTAATTCTTAATTTATCCTTAGACCTTTAAATATTAACTCTAATGATATGTCGACTGATCAATGGGATAATCAACAATATATTGATATAATTAATTTTAAATGGATCTAGTAAGTCAAGCTTGACATAATTCAGCCTATGAATATTTCTAGTTTAGATTTTAAATTATTAATAATCAACTTTGCTGGTATAATAATACAAAATAAGAAAATTAATCATAAATTCATAATTTATTTAGATTTAACATAAGATAACTAGATTAGCAAAGCTGAATTGCATGTTAAAACAGAAAGTAGGAACATAATTACTAGCAGACCAAGTACAAGCATCACGTTATTATAAAATAATCAATAAAAGTAGTAATTAATAACAGTAATCATCACATTCATTTATCAACTAAAGAAAAAACCATGCATGACTCCAAGTTCTTGAACCCTTCAGTTTTAAAGACTTGCCAATTGTTGTATGTTTATAGGATATGTATATGACTGTGATTCAAAGGATGACTGTGCGAATAAAACATTGGCTAGTTCGGTTGGATGAAAGGCATCCCAGAACAAGTATTTCCCTCGATCATTACATGGTTGTTGAAGGGGAAGGCAAGTTATCTGTCCATTGTTCCTTCCAACTCCGCAGCATCCTTTGTCTATTACTTCAAAGCCTGTTCGTAGATTAATTCTCCAAGTATGAGTTCATGTAAATTTAAAAGAAAATTAGGAAGCAGCTCCAAACAAAACATATTTGAGCATTTAATTTCATGAAAACATTAAAATTATTTTTATTTAGGTTAATGTTACTAATGGTCCTAAACTAGTAAATATTTAATGTAATATTAAATTTTAAAAATATTTAATATAGTACTTGAATTATTATTTTATTAACTAAAGTAGTATTTAAAAAGTTATTTACTTGTAATATATTATCATTTAAAACTAATCATGTTATGATAAATATCTTAGTTAATAGATTTATGGTTGATATACTACGTTAAAAAATTTTAAAATACATGTATTACATTTAAGATTTTACTATAATTAAGAGTCCTTTGTAAGGTATCCCTTTTATTTATTTATTTATTTTTGCTTGAAGTTATTTCTAAACTTGCATATTACCGTTAGCAGTCCCGTTTTCATATAGATCAATGCTGCTTTTGTAGGAATCCAGGTATACAAACTTTGCTCCTTGCAGTTGGCCACCATTGAAACGATCAACCAGCTTCCTTAGCTCAGTGTTAAAAAGAAGGATTGCCTTGTTGATATTCTCATTGCAGCGGCTGCTATTACCATGATATCGTGCAAGTTCGTATGGTATGCAACCAATTGGTCCAACTGCTGTTACGATCACCTTTCGAGCTCCTAAGCTATGCAATTGCTGAAATATGAAATTCATGCACACATAATTCAGATTATCCAACAATTCAATACTTTTAAACACCATCACGGGAAGTCATAAACTTACAGTTAGCTGGTGTGTGTAGTCCTGAATAAGTGCAGCAGCATAAGCTTTAACAGTGAAATCAGAACCAGTTGTATAGAAGGTGGGCATGAAATAGTTATTAAGATAATCATTACTTCCCAACCCACAATAGAAGATGCACTTGCTCAGATAGCTGCTTAGAGCATTGGTGTCTCCTCTGAACGACCTTCTCATTTGTAATACCGTATTGGCAAAGTTGGCAACCTGTCCATTCATCGATGTGTGGGCTCCCTGCACTTAAACTCAAAACAAACATTAAAAAAACATGTTTAAAGACCTTGACCAGAATGACAGAAGAAGAATGGTTGAAGGATTATAATTTCTATACCAGATTGTCGCCTGTCTCATCTCGAATACCAGCTGCTCCTGAGGCATAATTGACTCCCCTCAATAGTTCAGGGCCCCGAGCCCTTGAATATGGTGGAATGTAACGTGGAAACCCCATAAGTTGAGCTGTGAAATTTTTGTGGGGAAATAGAATTAGGATACCAACACATAGAGTGTCAATTTCAAGATTGGAAAGTGGAAACATGAGACTTTGGAGTTGAAGTGAAGTAACAGTACTTACCAAGAGCATCAACAAATGTTCGACCATTAGTGAAACGTCCAGTGGTACCCTGGGGAAAATCAACGCCGTAGGGCCTATAATTAGCCCTAGCAAGCGTAAGAATACCATTGTTATTTCCATTATCCACCAAGGAGTCACCAAAGATGAAGAAGCATGGTACTTGAGGCTGCTGTGGCTGTACCTGTGAGCAACCTCTAGTAGTAAAGCATGCGACAATCAAACAAACCAACAAGACTAGCTCACCAATGATCTCCATGTTTGAATGAGCTGCGATAAAATCACTGATCCCCATGCAGATGCACATTTATAGCGATGAATTGGACTCATGGTTTGTTCTGCTATTATGGGATTCATGTGCATGCAGATCCATACATTTGCTTTGAGCTTTAGGATATAGATGTCGCTAGAGTAAGTGAGAATAACTTTTAGTTGTGGTCATGACTCATGACTCATGTGTCACATAAAGAATTTACTTTATATTGAAGCAGCAGCGGTGGCGGAAGGAAGTATCTCGTGATCAACTTGGCCACCAAAACCTAGCTAGCTGAGCCTAGAACATCGCGTTTTGTCAGCTAGCTCCCCTTAAGCTAGGTACAACCCAAATGATTAAGGAGTTAATTAAGATTACTGAATTAAAACAATATTTACTTCATATATTTTTTTAGCATAAAGAAGATTGCAGTTTGAAAAAACAAAGAAAAAATTGTAAATATTAATATTTAAATTTTAAATTAGTTAGATGTTACTTCTCTAAAATAACTCTTGAACTAATGAGTTAATATTTGTGTTCAACATGAACTCTATATATTTATGATTAGCCATTACAAAAAATATGTTGATAAGAGATTAAAGATAAGAGATTACCAAAAAAAATAGATTAATCAAAGTGAAAATTTAATTTGAGGGATTAATGTTATAAATGATTTTTAAATTTTAAAAAAATATTTAATGTGATATTTAAATTTTAAAAATTTTTAATGCGATAGTTGAATTATATAAATTTGTTAACTAATATAACATTCGAAGAATTTTCTATCTGACTTGTATCATTATTTGAAACTAATAATGTAATTATGTGTGAGTTTTAAATTAGTTAATAAATTCATAATTTAAATATCGTATTAAAAAATTTTAAATTCAAATATCACATTAAATATTTTATTATAATTAAAGATAATTCATTATATTAACTCGAATTTGACATAAAAAAAGGTATATGTTATGGCGGCAATATATAAGTATTATTGTAACCCTAGACCTTTATATCTATGTAGAAGTTAGTATGAATGCCTTAATTAATACCTTTTATTTTCTTTCCTATGAGGGGAATATAGTTGTATAGTCTATGTAGTTGTTTTCACAAGCGAATATATCTAAATCAACTATATTTATTTTAATTAAAGAATACTCTATGGCTTATTTAAATAGATTAAGATATTATAAATATTAAATAATTCAAATATAAATATCTTAAAAATAGCAATTCCACTCGTTATCATCTTTAAGCATACACCCAAAAGTAATTGGACTATTTGGGGTATTAGCATACTAAAAAGGTAATAATACTAGGGAGGCAATGAGCATCCTGAATTAGTAATACCGGGAAGAGGGAGCACTCCGTTAGAATGAAAGTACATTGTGAAGAAAGGTGAAATTCTAGTTGGTTGGTAGCAAAACACTACAACCGAGCAGTGATGGAAAATTCCATCGAAAATAATTATATTTACGTCGTAAAATGACATTTTTGACGAACTTTTCCAACAAAAATTTTATAGGAAACTTTGAAATTGCTAGAAGCATTTTGTCAGAAATGAAAATTTCCGTCAAAATGAAAAAACCATTATTAGCGAAAATTTCCATCGCTTAAAATTTTATAATCCATCAGAAGATTTATTTGAATAATTTTCCAAGTTAATAAATTGGAATTTCCAAGGAAAATACACTGCTAATGATGGAATTTGCAACAAAGTTTCGTCGGAAATTATTGGTTATTATCAATAATATTTTTTATTTTATATTATCTTTCACTAATTTTTAAATTTTTTTAAATTAATTATATCAAATTAAAATATACTAAAATAGATATAGAATAAAATAAATAAATTCCACATTTCATTAACAAAAAATGTAGTAATATTTTACAAAATTCCTCATGAAATCTAATTTATATATGTAAGAACAAAAAAAAGTTACAAAACTTTGTATAAATATTCTAATAATACATGCAAAACTAGTAGTTTCAATCCACAACAATTGAAGCTTATAAGATAGAGTGAAAATAATTAAATCATAAACTAAATTAACATATGTAATTATAATTATATCCCCCAAAAAAAATCTAATTCCGTAGAGAGGAAGTGCCATGCAGGCATTTAAGGTTTAGTCATACATATAAAACCAAATTGTGGATGTCAAAATTTTTAGATACATAACAATAAATGACCCTTCATTGACTTTTGTGAGAACAGCTACATAGCTTTTCTTAAGCCTTCCCCATAGCCAAAACATTTCAAAATGTAATTAATTTTATAGCAATATAATTAAAGAAATGCAACCATTGTTAATAAAATATAAACTGCTCTTCGATTGTTGTTGCTAGGTTGGGCCAAAATTGAAGGAGTTAGCTGCAAAGACGAAGGAGGAAACAGTTGGGAATCAAATATAAATGGAGGTAACTTTCAATTGATCAAGTACACATACCTCATACTCATCATACTTCAGCTCCAATGGTTCTATTTTTTATTTTGGGATAATGTTATGAACAAGCTCTACTTCTTTATAAACGAATTTGTCTTTGTTTGATTTTAGATTATCCCTTCGCATTTCGATTCGTACTTTTAATAAAGTAAGTAATTTTTTATAACTTAAAAAAAAAAAAAAGAAATTCATAAACTCAATCATTTTTCAAAAGTTATAATAAATCTTATTGATTTTTACTAATTCGGTCAAGTTTCAATCGGTTGCATCATTATAAAATCAAAGATAACATGGGTTTAATTAATGGTTTAGACTTAATTTCACTCATTCTCAAATTTAATTAAGGGTTATAATCACAATGGATTAAGAGTTAATAATATTTTCATGCAATTAGATTAAAAGATAGATATTTATTTTTGAGTGAAATTCGAAAATTTGTTTGGGTATTATGTTGACCTATGACATTTAAGTAATGTATAAATTTATGAATTTTTTAAATTTGATTTCAATCTAAATTGAGCTTCATACGATCCAATCCATTCCAAATTGAATTCTATCAATCCGATTCAATTTTTAAATTATAATTTTTTTTATTTTTTATATATTGTTTTAAAATTAATTTTTAATATATTTAAATAGATTTCTGTATAAAATAATTATTTTTATTTTATAAAAATGTAAAATATATATAAAAACTAATAAAAGTATATAATTCAGTTCAATTTGTTTTTTTTTTTATTCATTTTCGATTGAAAATCTGATTCAAACCTAATACATATATTTAATATTCAAATTTAATTCAAATTAAATAAAAAACCAATCCGAATTAAAACGATCATTATAATTTTAAATCAATTTTTCATTTTTTTATTTTTTTCTCACTCCAAAATAATGATACCTAACAAAATTTTCACAAGAACAATGACATGCCATCTATCAATCACATTTAAACTAAAGTTATCAAAGGGGAGTATTTCCCTTTATTTTATTATCTTTTAGAAAAACTTATAGCTATTTAACTACTCAAAGTGATCAAAAGATTTTTACCTCTAAATCTAATACTTTCATTAGGATTAGATGTAGAGTTACTCATGGATCAGGTCGGATTCAAATCAGATTTAACATAATATTTTTGCATTTTAAGCCTGGGCTCAGCTCAATCCAAATTTTTTGGGTCTCATTTTTTGTCCAAACTTGTTCTTAATTATATGTAATAATAAAATTCAAATCTGCCCAAAGCACTAGTATTTAAAATTGAAAAAAATAATTTTTTATTTTTTTTGTAAATTATTAATTTAACTAATTTAATTAATTTTAATTAAATTTATGAATTATTTGGGCTTGGATCCAATTTAATTTTGTTGAATATAATTTAAAATTAGATTATTGTTTTAATGTTTTGCATAAAGAAAAAAATTGGGCTTTATCCTATTACAAATAATAAAGCAAATTGACCTTATCCATTATAAACAAATAAAACAAATAGACCTTATTTCATTAAAATAAAAATATTTTTTAATTTTTGAATCAAGCTGAGCGAGATTTGAACTTTAAATGGTGAAATTCAAATTTGACCATATCTTTTGATCAAGCCTTATTTATTTGTTTAAATTATTTTAACGGACTTAATATTTATATCCAAACTCTTTAAAATTTTAGAGTTCACGCAAGTAGCATGACTCATGAACAAGTCTAGTTGGATGTTTTCATGCTTGAAATAGAATATTTAGAGCTTTTAAAGTTAAAGGTCTAGGGTTGAATGCAGAAATGCATTTTAATTAAGAAGAAGAAAAAAGAACATGAATTCTAGTAAACAACAAATTTATTTCAACAACACTTTTATATTCTAACCGAATCAAACAGGCTCATCCGTTTTGACCAATTGCTTTTGATTTTCCTTCCTTAAGGCTGAACAAATCACCTCAACGATATTAACTGTGGCAAATGCTGGAATTTATCCGATAATGCTCAAATTTTTCAAGCATTAGACGTGTAACTGCCATGGTCTTGGCTTGTTGAAAAGAGGCTATTAGGTAACAAAGAATGAAGAATAAAATGACTTAGAGAACGAATCAAATATAAATAAATTCATCATATTTATAATTTATTTATTTAATAAATATAAATTTTAAAAATTAATTGTGATCATTATTAATTTAATAAATAATAGAAATCAAAACTTATTATAAATTATTTGGTGAATACTTTATTTTCATATATAAATAAATTAAACATGAATTTATTATATTTATATCTATTTATTTTATTAAAGAATATTATATATTATTTATAATTATTTATTAAATTTAATAAATACATATAAATATTAGAACAAACATGTTCTCAAAGATAAACACTACATTCATATATGGCATTGTCAGCTGTGTAATACATTTGTCCTTTTATGACCACTATGTCCAGCTTTGTGTGAACTTTTGGTCTTTGTCTCGATCCAAATTGTAAAATGTAAACACATTTCAGTATCATATACTTGTAATTTTTTAATTATAATTATGTAATTTTTAATTATAATAATAAATTATGTAAAAATTTATTATTTATAAGTATTAGTTTAATACAAAATTTTAATGAAAACTTTAAATTATTTTGAATTATGATTTGGGATTCATTAATTGTGGTATAGTAATTATAAATGGCATTCTTCTTAAAAGAAAATTCCTTTATTGAACTAATTTTTAAAAATTAAGTTTATATATGTTCATAAAATACGAAATTATATAAGCATCAGTCCAATTGCTTTGTAGAATTATGACAAACACTAGTCAGTAGTCACTAGGGCCAAGTCGATGTGGAGAAAATGTGAATGTCGCTTTCGTAAAACATAAGAAAATACAAAAGAGGAGTCGTCTCGCGGCCATTTCTCATTTCAACGGACCATAAATGAAGGGTTGGAATTGTTTGGGAAACTATTGTTCTTCAGTTCTTCTTTCCTGCTTCATTTTTTTTTTACGGTGATGGAAGTGAAGCTTAGCCATAGAAAACGTTCCTCTATCCCAAAATCTCTTCTTTCAAACCATACAAAAACAAGCTTCCCTCCTTACACCTTCTGTTTAAAATCCTCGGCAGCTACTGAACGGCAACGTTTTAAAGGCCTCGGCAAGGTTTTTTTTCTCCAACCATTTCCATAAGAATTGCTTACTAGTAGACTGTCTTTGTTGGCTTTGCTAGAAAGAATGATTTGGTTTGTTGGTGACAGAAATGGAGATTGCAGGCCAGCACCAAAGATTATTACTGTGCTCATGTGGTGAAAGAGTTAAACCAAACTCCTTTTATCCGTTGTATTCTGGGTTTCTCTCATTTATGAATATTCCAAACTTATTCTCAAGTTTGAACTGCAGGGGTGAAACGTTGTCTTCCATTTCAAAAATGTATGGCGTGTCCGTTTATTCAATTGCAGCAGCTAATGAGGACATAGCGGACATTGACCTTGTTTTCAAAGGACAGCTCCTTAAAATCCCTGCTCCTTCCCTGTTAGATACTCAACTTGTAAGTAAGATTGTTCAGGTTATTTAACATATAATAATCTTGGCTATCAACATTTGCTGCTATGTGGGCTATTAACATTCTCTCTTCAGAGCATTTCCCTGTATTGAATTACATTGCAATCAACTGGCCAGACTCAAGTGGTATCAGCACGTCTGGGGTTCAAGTCTCTGTACCTACAACCCCTTTCTTTATCTCATATTACTATCTTCTTTGTACAGAAAAAAAAAAAAAAAAAAGGTTTTCAAAATCGAACTGTCTTTTTTTTCTTTTTCCTTTTTTTGTGTTATTTTGTCACACTTTAAAACCTGCAAGCCTTCTCATATGATAGTCTAATGTAGGTAGATGGGGAACTAATTTAGCATGTATTGTATAATGTGCTGGATTATTGGATTTGATGTATTTAATGTTGTATGGATAGAATGCCAAAATATAGTTTGACTTTACCCTAGAACTTTCTGCCTAGTGGTGTTGAATTACGCTCGGATTTCTATCAGCTTTATCTTGTAATTTACCTTGGTACTGTGTGGTTTGTTTTCTTTTAATCAGGATCAGGCCAAGAATAGGTTATGGCATTCATCCGTGCACTGAAAACTCCTTCACAGAAAAAATTTTCCACCATGCTAACATCAAATGCTTTATCAAATGTAAGCCCGTTTATAAAATGATCACAAAGTTATTGATGATTTACTAGTGTTAGCAAGCTCAATACGCTTTCCTCACTCTATCAGCAGGCTAAAGTCACTGGTTATTTTTTAGTTCTGGTTCCTCTTATAGCATTTTGCATCAGATGCGTAATCAGTACCTTTCGCATTAGAGTTGCTAGAGATATGAGACACCAAGCTGTGGAGAAGTCAAAGGGACATCATACTGGGGCAAAAAGCATGCGATGGAAGTCTGCTCTTAAAGACACAGTGGAAGGTGATGCTTCAGACTCTGAATCAGAACTTGATTCCAATGTAAGTACTTAGTTCAACATGGTTGTGCTGATTTAGTTGTGCTTGGCTAATGATATATCTGTAAATATTAACTATAATAGACAAACATGTTTCCGGTTATCATCCATATATGTCAACCATATATTAAAAAGATGTTGCATAAATCCAAATGCTTTGATGTCTTTTCACTTGAGCCCTATCTTCCATGATCTTCTCTAACTTTTCTATAATGGAGCATGCATCTGATACAACCAGATGCAAGAAATGTAGCATTCAATGCAATATATATTCAGCAGTGATTCTTGCTTTGGTTGAAATGCCATCATTTATTTATTTATTTTTGTGTAGAATTCATCATTTGGAGTCCATATTGCATGGGTTCTATAACTGGCTACTGGTATATGTTCATCTTGTTTCTTTCCAGAGATTCTAACTGTTTTGAGGTGTTTGCTAAGTGATAGGAACATCCATAAGATAACCATATGATCTTATGTTGAGACGAGTACCCGTGGACAAGTCTAGCATCCACATAAAGTGTCTTAGAGCCCTCAAAACTAAAACTTTCAACAATAATCTTTTGTAAGTTTTGCTTGTCCCATGTAACTGTGAATTGCAAGCAGAGAGGGTAAGTAAGCTGTAGGATTTCAAAAGACTATGTCTTATCTTCCTTATGCCATCATAGTGGAGTAATTTTACGTAATCCTGAATGTCCCTGCATACGAATATTGGAAATATTTTTCTTTTGTTAACTTTTTGCTGACTAGATGATTGTACACGGGGCAGCCTTAGTCTCAGCCCCCAGTTAAATGACCCTTTATGGTGGGCATCGCAGTGAGTTTACAGTTTAGTTTGTTTGAAAGTGGGATTTCTTAGAATATCATTCTCATGTTTCTGACCACATTGAAGAACAGAAAACTGTCTGTTGGATAATAGAAGTTGCATTACGATTCTTGTTAGGTTGCTTCAGTGATGGTTTTGGGTGGCAATAGAGCAGAATTGCGTACTGCATCCATTCAGGTGAGAGATATGACTGCAATATACCATACTATCTGTCTGTGGACTGAAGTGATGCACCAGAACCAGAGAATGCTTAATACAGGCTACACAGGGCTTGACCATCGCTGTGAGATAGAAGATGCAATTATGGGTTTGGCTTTGGAAGATTGCCTAAAAGCACAGTGGCTACTACTGCATATTGGAGTCATGCATAATATAGGCTTCCAAGCATGGTTGTTCACTTTGCAATGGCTTGGCAGGGTTGATGGTCTCCTTGTATGTTGTTTGTTATGTAAGTGGCAATGATGGGATGTCAAGCTTTTGCATTGATGCTACTTGGCTTAAGGACCTTATTACTAAGATGATTCATTCATCATGCTAGACACAATGAGGGAAGCCAGATATGGCTACTTTTGAGTGACTGGTTCTTACCTTTTTGGACAAAGAGGACATGGCAGCTCCATGATATTTTTGGTATGCGTGGGAGTCAGATTGTGAGACAGATTGAAAAATCATTTACAGTTATCAACATAATTAGTTAGAAAAATTCTTTCCTTGATTCTGAGGATTGATGAAACTGCATTGTCCTTGTACCTGCAACTCTGGAAACTTAGGGTATACTGTTTGGTTCCTACCTTCTTGTTTGTCAAATCATTCAGTATGGAGAAGCTTCAACTGCAATTACCAATGACAAATCATTTTTGGATTTGCTATTTGACGGGGAGTCCCAGTTTGCTACACAAGCACACAAGAGATAAAGAAAATGAAACAACAGACACAATAGATGTTCACATAATCAGCATTAGCAATCATGATATATTTTTTGTTTTTGATTTGTTTGATAGCTAAATGGTACTACTTTGTTTACAAACTCTACATGTTATATCAATATCTCTTATGAATAAAAAATTTCAGAAATCCAGCTTGGGTCCTAAATTACTTTGGAACTGTTGTGCAGAGTCCTTCAGAAGATGAAGCTTACATTTCCTACGATGAGGCCTCTCAGGATTACGGTAGACTTCAACATGATTATCAGAAATTTCTCTCAGAATGTGGTATTAGTAAATGGGGATATTGGCGGGGTGGTTTTCCTGGGGCCTCACAGGAGCATTAAAATGCTTTTATTCTTGCTAGTATAATGGATACTGACGTTGAACAATAGCTCTATTGAACTTATGTACAGAGCAGCAATGATTTTTTGCCCTGCATTTGACTGCTATTATTAGCTACTGCATTTGCCCATAATTTTTAATGAAATATTCCTAACATACAAAGACAATTCAAATTATATTGTATGACCACTTTGTTTCCTTTTAATGAAGTTACTATAGAGCATCAGGTGGATGTTTATATGCAGTCATTTCGATGCACAAGCATGGTCAAATAGGCCATGAATTTTGAAGATCATTTCAATTACAAGCATGAGATTTCATGCATCTATTACTATACATGTAATCTTGGCTTCACAGCAGCTTTTAGGGATTTAAATTAATGACTTATTAAGGTTTGAACTTTGAAGCATGCCTAAAATTTATATATACAAGAATTTTGACTTATTACTTATTTAAAATATTACTTACTATGTTGTCAATTAAAAGTACAATTAGTTTTTTATATTTAAAAATTTTATCTTAATTTTAATTCGATAAAATAATTTGAGAAAAAAAATGAAAATGACCACTCGTAGCAATACACAAGATATAACCTCGTGATTTGATTATCTTAAAGACACAAATTCTCATGAACCAAATGCCAAGTAAAGCAATAGGAATTTTATGGTAAATTATCGTGTACCTAGTTTTTATATATAGTTATTGTAGACAATAGCAATTTTGGTATGTAAATAGTTCCTATATATTCCTACCTTGCCCAAAAGTGCTACTCCCATAGGGAGTGAAGAGAATAATAAGCATTCACGCTCAACTAAAACAGGGGAGGCAAAATTATGGTAATGCAATCCAATTATTCCAACATTTGTTTTTAATGTATGTTTTTTTCTTTATCCAAAGAATTGAATTCAAATCTCGTATTTTTTTATTGAAAGAATCGAATTTGAATTTCTCATCTTCAATATATATAAAGAATTAATATTTGATATATTATCAGTATAAATTTTTAGTTCTATAAGTAATGTTAAGATACTAACACATTGTTTTATTTTATTTTTAATGTATTTTTTATTTTTTTATAGGCATCTTGTGAAATCTAAAAATTTCATTGTCAAAGTAGTTGAATTTCTTTATAATATATATATATTTATTTATTTATTTTATATTTATATTAGTGTAAGTGTTACACACTTTTTTTGAACCTTGAATATCTTGATCCAATGATAAAAAATGTACACTTATGTTAGTGCAAGTGAATCCCTCCTACACATATAAGGGATCAGCCTTATACTAGTATAAAACTAAAAGGTTTTACATTTTTCTAACAATTTATTTCAACCCAAAGATAAGAGAGATAAATAAAAAAGAGAAATAAAATGATTTAGTTTGATTTTTTGGATCTATTAAAATTAATGATTAAGAAACAATATAAAACTTATTAGTTTACAACGGTGTAAATTGATCCATTCTCGTAGACGTAGCATGAAAAAATCAAGAGAAGAAAAAAAAAAATTGAATCAAATGCATAATAACTTCTGATATAAGACAGATATGTCGCAAAAGATAAGGTATTAAAGATGAAAATTTCTTGAATAAAAAGGAAAAGAAAGCATCCTTTCCAATTCCTTGGGGTTGGAAATTGAAGTATATTAAGGACAAAAGGGTCTACCAGAGCCAACCCTGTGACTGGAATAATGAAATGCCTGAGTCTTCCTTCTTGCTCTGTCAGTATCCTTCACAAAGAAAGCCTTGAGAAC